AGGTTGTGCATAATGCATTTCCCCGAAACCTCTATATAAAAAAAAAAGTGCATTCATTGCCCCCCCCAAAGATGTTACATTTTATTTTTTGTTAATTTTTTCCTATAAATACTGCATGGATGAAATAAATGAACCGGGAATTATTGAAAGAAGCTAATAAGAAAAACCAACATTAAGAAACTTTTTGATTTGGAAATACGAAAAAAATATACTGTAATTGCTGACCTAGGCGAAAATGGTTGTGTGTGGCTGTCAAATTTTGAATTCTTTAGCGATGAGGCCACAGGGGAATATAATACTAATCAACCTAAAACATCCCGGACAACAATCGGGATTTCCTGGTGAAATCATGATGATATCACAACGTGATTTTTTTTGTCACGCCGTGATATCCTGAGTGCATACACATGCTTCATCACAGTGATATCATGTAGAACTCACGGTGTGATTTTTGCAAAATTTGCGCATGCGTAATAGCCCTGCGAACTGCGAATTTAAAACCTAGTTTGTTACCTGTTGATTCAACATAACTTTTCTCTTAGTGTACGAACGTGGCGCAAAAATCATTATCAAAACACCGTTGGCATAAAAAATCACGACATGATTTTTTATGCTATCGGTGTTTGGGCATAAAAAATCACGACATGATTTTTTATGCCATTTGACATGTAAGGATATTTATTTTTGCGCCACATTCGTACATTGTGAGAAACAGTATGTTAACAATTGAATTAACAGTTTTTGCGGTTAAATACATTTAATATTTTCTTGGATGTAAATTAACTATTAATTTAATTCCAAACAATTATTGAATGTATTTAACCACAAAAACTGTTGATTCAATATAATATATTGAATATATATTATATGTAAGTATACTTTTTCCCCTAATGTGGTGCAAAAATAAATATCCAAACACTGATGGCATAAAACATCACGACATGATTTTTTATGCTATCGTTGCTTGGGCATATAAAATCACGACATGATTTTTTATGCCATCTGACATCTTTGGATATTTATTTTTGCGCCACATTCGTACAGTGTGAGAAAAAGTATGTTAACAATTGAATTAACAGTTTTTGCGGTTAAATACATTTAATATTTTTTTGAATGTAAATTAACTATTAATTTAAATCCAAAAAAATATTGAATGTTTTTATTTAACCACAAAAACTGTTGATTCAATATATATGTAGGTTAGGGTGGTCCTTAATAAGGTTATTTTCAAATTTCTTTGCTCACAGGGGCTCAAATACTTCCAAATTGATAAAAAAAAATTCCCTGAAAATTTGAGCTCTTAATATTAACTCTAAGATAGTGCGCATTCCAATTTAAGTTTCCTATGGAAATAACATAGGAAAAATTACTTTTGTTGTTTATAATTTTATAACTTGGGAACGAATAAATTAAAAATTATAAATCATACATATTTTTATAGAGAATTTAACGCTCTACAAAAAAGGTCTCTTATAATTTTTTTATTAGTCTATTTGTTTAAAAGTTATTCAACGTCAAAGTTTAATTTTCATATTATTATTAATATTATCAAGGCTTTTTTATGAGCGGCGCCGCTTGTGTCAAAATTAAAAGTGCTAAATAAACTTATTTTGTTTTATAAATAATTAATTATAGCTTTACCAAATGGTTTTTTTAAACAATTATTTTTTTACAAATTTTTTTTTGGAAAAAATTTTATAAAATAATTTTTTTATAATTTTTTTTTTTTTTAATTTTATAAAATTATTTTTTTATAAAATAATTTTTTTTAAAAATAATTTTTTTATAAAATAATTCTTTTTTATAAAATTATTTTTTTATAAAATAATTTTCAATTCGAATCAAAAATTATTTAATAAAAGACGACGGGCGCATTTATAAATTAATTTTTACTGCAGCCATCTCTATTTGTTTGTAGACACTCGAGTAAACCCAACCCAACCCGAACGCCCCTCCCCAGATACAATTTTATGACGGACTGGGCTTTTGTTTGACGCAATTTGGGGAAACGATTGAAAATAATAATTTATTATTTTTATTCATTAATTCATTAATTTTTGTATCTAAATTTATTTTGATTTTTAGTTTTTAACAAGAATTCTTTATGTTTAAACGATTTTTATAAGAAAGAACTTGTTTAAAACTAAAATAAATAAATAAAATAATTCTCTTGAAAACAAATTAAAATAAACAAATCAATTCTCTTAAAACAAAACTAAAAATCAAAAAAAAAATATTTTATAAAAAAGAATTATTTTATAAAAAAATAATTTTATAAAAAAATTATTTGGTAAAGCATATAATTAATTATTTATAAAACAAAATAAGTTTATTTAGCACTTTTAATTTTGACACAAACGGCGCCTCATGAAAAGGCCTTGATAAGATTAATAATAATATGAAAATTAAACTTTGGCGTTGAATAACTTTTAAACCAATAGACTAATGGAAAAATTATAAGAAACCTTTTTTGTAGAGCGTTAAATTCTCTATAAAAATATGTATGATTTATAATTTTTAATTTATTCGTTCCCAAGTTATAAAATTATAAACAACAAAAGTAATTTTTCCTATGTTATTTCCATAGGAAACTTAGATTGGAATGCGCACTATCTTAGAGTTAATATTAAGAGCTCAAATTTTCAGGGAATTTTTTTTTATCAATTTGGAAGTATTTGAGCCCCTGGGAGCAAAGAAATTTGAAAATAACCTTATTAAGGACCACCCTAATGTAGGTATTCTTTTTCTCTCAATGTACGAATGTGGCGCAAAAATAAATATCCAAACACCGATGGCATAAAAAATCACGACATGATTTTTTATGCTATCGGTGTTTGGGCATAAAAAATCACGACATGATTTTTTTATGCCATCGGTGCACCGACATCTTTGGATATTTATTTTTGCACCACATTCGTACATTGAAAGAAAAAGTATGTTAACAATTGAATAAACAGTTTTTGCGGTTAAATACATTTAATATTTTCTTGAATGTAATTTAACTATTAATTTAAATTCAAAAAAATATTGAATGTTTTTATTTAACCACAAAAACTGTTGATTCAATATATATGTAGGTATTCTTTTTCTCTCAATGTACGAATGTGGCGCAAAAATAAACGTCCAAACACCGATGGCATAAAAAATCACGACATGTATTTTTATGCCATTGGTGTTTGGTCATAAAAAATCACGACATGATTTTTTATGCCATCGGTGTTTGGATATTCATTTTTGCGACCCATTCGTACATTGAAAGAAAAAGTATGTTAACAATTAAATTAACAGTTTAACATTCAATATTTTCTTGGATTTAAATTAAATATATATAGTTAATTTAAATCCAAGAAAATATTAAATGTATTTAACCGCAAAAACTGTTGATTCAACATAATTTTTCTCTTAGTGTACGAACGTGGCGCAAAAATGATTATCCAAACACTGTTGGCATAAAAAATCACGACATGATTTTTTGTCCCATCGGTCAATCGCAAACAGCGATGGCATAAAAAATCACGACATGATTTTTATTTCTCACGCTGTGACATCCGGATGATGTCCGTATGAATAAAATTTGTGAAAATCACGTCGTGACGTTCGTATGATTTTCATTTATCACGCGGTGACTTCCGTATGATATCAGTATGAATAAAATTTGTGAAAATCACGACGTGATGTTCGTATGATTATCACGAATGTTGTCCGGGATTGTACTTAATTATAGTTTATAAAAGGCCTATAATGGGCCGAGACTGCTATAAGCGAAATTTATCCTTTTTGAATACAAAATAAAAGTATTAAAATAATGAAAACTCAACAAATAAGTACCTAAGTTAGGTAATGGTAACCATTAATTTAGTTTAATTTAATTTTATAATGCATTAGTAAATTTGCAATGTAAATTAATTTTCCTGAATTAGGAAATTCCTATGTATACAATAACTTATATTAAAGGATAATCTAACAGATTTTTTAGTCTTGGCCGAGTCCGAGACATGACAATTTGTTTAAGTTAAAATATAGTTTAATAATAACTTAAGTAACTAATTTGACAATTAAATTGTCTATAGGCGATGCTAGGTCCATCCCTTTCACAAATATTGCTCTGCTTGAAAGATTTGATGCATATAAAGTTCACATTGTGAACTCAAAAGAGATTAACATTTAAAATTATAATTTACTTATCTATATAGTATACTTATCTGTTAGTCGTTCTCGTTTTGGACGCGCTTAGACTTTCCGAGATCTCGGCCAGATTTTTGGTCAATAACAGAGACCGAGATCTCGGTCGGACACTGTTTGCAATTTTTTTATATTAATTAATTGAGATATTATTTCCAATTTTGGAACACTTAAGCATTTTATGATGCTTTTCCTAAAAAAATAAAATGAAATAAAAATTGCCTTCAAAAAATAATTTTGAAAACATACAATTTTTAATAATTCCTTAACTAATATTTTTTGCGGCGGCAATAATTTTACACCCAAAACCTAGTAAAGGAATAATAATACGATTTTTATTTATAAATATCTTTATTATCAATCTCTAAATACGTATTTACATTTCAATGTAAATGAGATAAAAAGCCATCATCTCCACTATAATTCAACATTATTTATACTACTGGCAGTGTAATTTTTTCCATACATATTTCTTCAAACTACCTGTAGATTACAACCTTTATTTTCTTCTGATTATTAAAAAAATACACTATTCTTATACAAACTGTTCTTACTTAAACCTAATAACATGGTTAAATATGATTTTTTAACATTTTATAGATTTTTCTCTATTTTTAAAAATATGACTTTGTACTGATCCTGATTGAGCAAAATTTTATTAAGTCATTGTAAATTTAAGGCAAATAAAATTTTAAAAAGAAGAATTATTAGTATTTACTGCTCAGCAGTTTTATTTAACTATTCTTCTCTTTATTTTATTTAAGATAATTAATTTTTACATTTGTTTGCTATAACTATATGCATATTAAACAAATGTAAAAACTATTTTGAAACATTCTTGAAGAAATATGCCTGTAAAAATTAAAAAAAATAAACGGTCCTATTCATCATACAAATTCAAATTATTTACATTGAGACACATTTCGGTAAAACAGCGACTGCATCCAAAGTAAATTAAACTAAATAAAAATCTAACACTAAATAGTTATAAAAATTATAGCTACAACCAAAGTCTGATGTACAAAATGTACATAAATCTGTTAATATTATTCTAAAAATATACATTCAACATACATTGAAGAAATTTGGTAGTCACTGGATCCAAAATTATGTTTATAATAAACAATTTTTTTGCCAAAATGCAGAACAGGTACAGTAAATATGTATTTTGTGATAAGTAGCACATCAGATCCAATATAATAAGTACAAAATAGATCGTCTCACCAAATTTTTTTTATGGCACATTGATTAAGAATTAAAAAAAACTATTTTATAAAATTATTTGTCATTGTGTAAAAACACTTTTATAAAATACAAGTATCACCAGAATTTTTATCACAATTTGTATATTACTAGGATTTGAAGAAATGAATTGCATGCATTAAAAGCTTAGTGCTTATTAAATTTAAGATTAAAATTGTGCAATAATACTTTGAGAGTTGTCTGATTTTTTAAATTTTATAGTTAAATTTAAAAAAATCAAAATTGATGCCCAAAATTAATCCAAGATTAACTTTGCTCATGTAATGCATAAAATGAATGAAACTATTATTCAAATGAGTTAAAAATCATGATAGGAAGAGTTTTCTTGGAAAGACTTAGATTAAATTTTTTAGCAACCTTTGGTATACCCGCAATTTTTCCATTTTTTTTTTGATTGATGAGACGATCAAAATGCCATGTTTAGTAATTCTGATAACAAACTCATAAAAAACAATATGTAAAAAATTTCTCATTTTGTATTAATATCACTCTTGCTCTACAAAAATTAACAAATATCAGTTACAAGGTGAGTCTCTAAACTACAGTATAACTACAAGCTTAAAAACGATAAACATTTAATTTTGCAACCTTAAAGATAAAATTTTGATTTTCACCACAACAAATTCTTAAAAAACCTTGGCAAAACATGTAACATTCAATGAAATAAAAATTTGTTGTAGCAAATTGTATTTGAGCGAATTTTTAAGCAAGGCACAATCGGCACTCAATCTGTATTTGTTAACAGAGGAGGGGGCATTATGATATCTGAGTGTCCTCTTGTTCCTTTTCTCTCTGCCGAACGGCTACAGCTGTTTCCACAAGCAAATAAAGACATTTAAACTTGTCCTTGTCTTCACCGTCAGATGAAGCTAAGGGATCTGATGGAAGTAAAGTGTTTACCTGGTGGGCGGGCATAACCTGCACTTTTGGGTTTGACAGGGGGTGCGGCAACTGAGGCAAGTGTGCCAACTGAGGATGAGGGGCACTGTTCCAATAGTCATCTCCTGCAAGTTTTACATCAGACCTAAAATAAAAGATTATATAATTAGTGTCCAAAAATACATGTTCAAGAAAAGGTCATAGTTGGTATAAACTAACTTAAGTAAATGAGTACAGTAAGTTTAACAGTGGCTAAATGGCATGAGGTTAAATGAATCTGACAGTAGTCAAATTTTTTAATGTTTTTTTTAGACTAGGACGTAAAAAACTTTATTCAATTGGTCTTAATTATTTTTTTCAGCCTAGGCGACAATCAATCACTTTAGTAGTGAATTTTGACAATAAAAAAGTTTAAATTATAGAACGCTTTAAGATAATTGCATTGCATAATGTAGTTAAAAATATTTTTAAGAAATACGAAATGCGAAAAGATACTAAATTAAAATATTCAAAATAATACTGAACCCTGCAAACACACAATTTAAATGGCGAGAAATATCCAATTTGCATGGTTGCTATAGAGAAAAGGCAATATGATAAACTAATAAAAGTCATGTGTTGTTTTACGGCGAAACGGTTAAAGTTACAGGTAAAGAGCAAGGAAAACTTTCATAAAAAAAGTGTCAAATATTGATATACTAATTATGTTGTTTTATGGGAAAACAGTTAAAGTAACAGGTAAAGGGTGAACAAACTTTGATAGAAAATTTAATTTCTTGCAAAAAACGTCTTATGCATAAATATGTATAATAAAATGCATGGTTTAAAAGATATAGAGCATTTATTAAATTGTACGGTTGTAAAACAAACATAATTGTACATGTTTCCATGACACTAATACAATACTTTTAAATACACATTTATGGCGCTTTAGTCAAGGGCTAAAGTTAGCAACAGGGTTTTCGTCACGGACTGATGTAAGCTTTAAGTTGACAGTTGTCAAATGTCATACAATCGTTAAAATACTACATGTGAAAATAATTGTATTATCTTAATGCACAAATAGTATAGTATTAAATAATTTCTCAACGCCAATACTGACCTTTTGATTTCGCCGGCAGCACGGTCTTATATGAGACTGCTAACAACGTGAATAATGACTTCATTATTCCCGTTGTTTGGCTGTGCATTTATAATGTTTATCATTATTCACGAAAATAAATATTATGCAATAGTAGATAATAGTATATTATTTGCCGGCATTGACTAAAATGGCGTTCATCAAACTTGATCAATAATATACTATTATCCACTCCTATTGCATACTATTGATTTTTTTCGAGAATGATAAACATTATAAATTCCCTGCCAAACAACGGGAATAATGAACTCATTATTCACTTTGTTAGGTATCAGTTATTGGTTGATTTCATTATTCACTGTGATTTGAACCAATCGGTATTTAAATTGGGTGGCGACTATACTGCCGTACTTAATGAAAACGGCGTAACCAACAATTTTGCGATTTTTGGTTTACGGCATTTTCTACTAGAACAATTCATCCTGCGTCTATCCCCGGTACTCAAAAAACCGTATATATATAGATACGGTTTTTTGAGTACCGGGGATAGACGCAGGATGAATTTTTCTAGTAGAAAATGCCGTAAACCAAAAATTGGAAAATTGTTGGTTACGCCGTTTTCATTAAGCACGGCAGTAAAATAACATTTAAAATTGGTAAAAAATGAAGTAAACCTTTTGACAGATATCAGATTTTATTTATATACTTTTGAAAATCAAAATTATCTACTTATTGGAGTAGATAAAGTATAGTATTAAACTTGAGATTATGCGCATTATCTCTCATATAATAATATACTATTATCAAAATTTGACAGTTAAATTTATTAAATGCTCTATACAAGGTGTCCCTAAACTTATTGGCATAAATTTAGGAAAAGATTGAACAAGTCAAAATAAGACGAAAACCCAAATAAATATTTTTCCCAATTACTTATGTTTCCAAGATACAGGGTGATAAAGTGTTACTTATCATATCAGTTTTTTTAATATAACCTATGGTAGTATTGGAAAGGTGATATTTTGTGAACAGTCACTTACTACCAAAACACATATTCACACATAATTATAATTGTTTGGGTAAACACAGTGTTGTAGAACCGGGGGTTGCTTTAAGCTTATTGTCCCATACAAACTTTGAGGTTAGGCTTTTATAACATTTGATGCAATTTTTAGATTAAACAGTTTGTTGATCTATTATAAATAGATCAGTGCAGCCAACTATAGGGCATTGCTAACATTGCCAAAATAAATCTCCTTTTCTCAAATATTATTTATTTGTTGCTTAACCCGTAACCGGTACTGTGGTGTCTGGGAGACACTCATCAACGAACAAAGCCCTGTCCCACCCTCACCTTTTGTTTTAAAAATCTGTCGCTTCCAATACTTTTAAGTTGAGCAGTTATCAATATGCTCTCAGACTTTGAACAAGTTGGATTGTCAAACGGATAAATTATTACAAGTCAAAGTGTCAAGGTGTCTAGTAGACCACTGTGTACCGTTTACGTAATTTTTATAAAACAATTAATTCGTTATGGATTTGCAACAAGGGCCTTCTAAAAGTGTCCAAAGTGATAACAAGGGCTTTAAGGAAACTGTAATGTAGTGGTTTTATGAAATCTACAGCGATATAAGTGATATAGATGACTGTAGTATACTACATAACCATTATAGTGATTATGTCGTTGAAGATAATCACAGCAGCGATTCAGGACTTGTCTGTGAAGAGTCTATAGAAAATAATTTTATAGGGTCAGATAGTGAAGAATTTGAAATATTTTAAGAATTTGAAAAAAAAAACAAAAAAGTTTCTATGGAAAAAATAATTGTAAAAATTAGCTATAGTTTGAAGCAGTTATTTTTGCTGTTAAAAAAAATATATTTAAATTTTTTTTGTTTATGTTATTTTTTAAGGTATATTCTTCGAAATAAAGATCGTTTTATTTTGTTTGGATAATATTTTTTATAGTTTAATCACAAAGTTTGCACTACTGCACTTTTTGTACATGTTTTGATTAAAACCTATTTGTTTAAATTTTTCTTTTATTCAGGTATTATTTTTGGTGCACTCTCGTCCCAGCCGTCGAGTGAATAAGTCGACGCAGCAGAGGCAGAGTAAACGTAAAACGTATAACGATAAAACCATAACCAACAAATAAACCTTCATAGTGCAAACTACTATAGTGTAAAAAAAAAATACAGTGAGTACAGACTACAATACGGTCAATAATTAGTTGAGGGCCAAGCGAAAAGGAGGAGTGAAGTGACAGGTGCAGGCGAACATAGTGAAACGGTCAAAAGTTTTAAGCGTTGAGTGACAAGAAAGTGTCGAGTGACAAGTGTCAGTGCCTGAGCGGTCGCACCATCGGTCAACAGGTCGATCTCCACAGGCCAATCAAAAGAGGACATACAAGGGAGGAACAGGCCACCTGCAAATATTTGCTAAGTATTTCCAATTCTTCCGCATGACCTAACACATAATTTGCAAATTGAACTAAACAAGGCACATTGCCTAACTAAAAAAAACAATAATCATCGGCATTAAATAAAATAAAAGTCAATTTTCCAAGAAAAACCAAACAGCCGATCGCGGACACGCACCAAAGTTGAACAGGGCAATAAAGCTGTCAACATAACAATTCAAGTAAAACAAACCGAGACCAAATAAATTTGACACTTAAGACATAAACAGCATAAACTAAGAAAAATAAACAAAGTTAAAAAAAGCACTATAATCAAACTCCATGGAATTTGTAATCACTCTTGACTTCATAGTAAAAGTAAAAAAAATACCCCCCACTGGGAACTGCCTTATCGCAGCGATTGCACATCAGCTGTTTAACACGGTGATAGGTTCGTTACGCGAAACTGAAAAAACAGCAGAGACTAGACAAATATTAAACAACCACTTACGTAATAACCTAGGAACGTACAGACCCTACATCGAGGACGCAATAAATGACCTAAGCAGTCGTTATGAACACATAAGTGACAAAACAGGACAAATTAATGCGTACCTAAACTTTTTCGATGAATTTCAATCGCAAATAACTCCAATAACAACCATCGAAAAAGGCGTAAGATAAATAAATAAATAAACTAAATATGCAAGAAGACAAAATAACATACCTAAACAAGTTGAGTGTGAATAGCAGTATTGCCAGATGTAAAAGTTGAAATTAACGAATTGGGTAATAAAATTATCGAATTTTCGGAAATTAAGTTAAAATAATTGTAATAATTATGTAACAATAATTATTATAATTTAATCATAAAAAAAAAAAAAGTAAAAGAGAAAGAATCGAACTTTTGGAAAATTATAAAATTTGTAAAAGTAAAAAAAATACCCCCCACTGGGAACTGCCTATCGCAGCGATTGCGGCCTTACGCTCGGCACGAGTGATGGGCTCCTCCGCGGGGGGGTGCAGCCTCCCGTGGCCTATACGGGGGATGGTCTACACGGCGGTAGTCGTAGTACGATTGCCGTTGTGTGGATTGTCTTCCGGGGGGGCCGCGGGGGGTTGTATTTCTTTGCGGGGGAGTTTATCATGTGTGCCGATTATCGTACCAAGGGAAAAACCATTACCAAAAGGGTAAGAGTAGCCCAATTAAACACTGGGTCCACGTCACTCGTAGACAACGCAACAACATACTACAAGCCACCCTTAAACTAGATCTTAAAGACAAAAAAAATCGGTAGACCATGCTTCACATTTCATGACACGTAGCACAATACATGCACTTCTCACAAAGTAACAAGACCAGTTGGGAGCAACTAAACAACAATAAAAATAAAATAAAAAAAAAAAAAAAAAAAACAACCGACACACTTTACCAAGTTCAGGAACTATCCGACACGGATAATGACAATAATGAACAAGACGAAGACCTCGACTAGGAAACTACACCCCTGCAGCGTAATAACAACTCCCCAACTCCAAATAGTAATCCCAAATGTTTGGAGTAATACTAACCGACTGGTCTAGGGGGATTCCGCGTCGTACTTAGTTTTAAGTCGGCGTAATTGTCCCCCAAAAACCAACTCCCTCCCGTCCCTCATCCATACCTCACTGAGCGTATAGCATAGGCCCGGCGAACCCGGGAACGGCTATTATAACTATTCGCCTCTCGCTCTCGAGCCCCAAATAGGGGACAGTACGGAACGCAATGGACATTCGCACCCAGCAAACACGGGTGAAGCCGTGCAGTTGCTGGGGAAGAACAAAAATCGGCGTAAGTAAACATAGGCCTGTACGAGGTTTGAGAGTCAAGAGGAAATGGGGCTGGTTATACGTCTCTTATACTCATACTCATACATTCAGGTATTATTTTTGGTGATATTCTAACTTTATATATATTTCCTAGTATCCCCAAAGCCTCAGATAAAATAAAATAATATAAATTATAATTTTAAAAGGCAGGTGTCTCTCAGACCCCTTAGTACCGTTAATGACCTGAAAGTCGTACAGTACCGGTTACGGGTTAATAACTAAGAGATGGATTGGATGAGTGAAGATTAAAGAAAATTAGAAAATTCTGTGTATGAAGCCATGTATAGAGATGGATTGGATGATTGAAGATTAAAGAAAATTAGAAAATTTTGTGTATGAACCCATGTGTACAATGTACACTGTACATAGTTAACAAGTTCACAGTTCATTGGAATGTATGAAAATAATTGTTTGGTTTTCTTGTTTTCCTCTTTTTGATTTATTATTGCTCATAGCAAAAATACAAAAATAAACAAACATGTCAATTTTTGTCAAATTCGAGTGTGTCTAAAGTATAAAATGAAAATTTAGTTAACACCTCAACTTTAAGTGAAACTTTATCTGTAGTTAACAGGTTGACTGCCAGACATGTTTTTTGAAAACTCAAAATATCGATTATGTCCACCCAATCAGGTAGACCTTAAAAGTTTTAAGGTAAGTTAAAACTCAAAATTTTAATTTTGTACATTTTAAAGTCTGATTATGAAATTGGGCTTGTGGCAAGTACCTACTTAAAGGTTAAAAAAATAATAAGTTTTTAAAAATTGAAATTCGCGAAAAGGTAGGAATTTATGCAGACTATAAATAGATGAAAACAATATTATCACCAAATATTTGTTTACTTGTATTTTGAAAATGACCTTTATCCAAGTATCCAAATATAAATTTGTCTTATGCCCAATGCATTTTAAAATAAATTTCAATAAAAATAATTAAAAAATTAGCAGTTTTGTCTGTTTAGGTTAGTGAAATGAACAATTTTAATCACTCACACAAAAATAAAGCCTTAATTTAAAAAGTGGTTTAATTTAATGATTTTACTTACAACTTCATGAAATTATTTTTTATCATAACATTTTCATAACACTTACCCTCTATTGGCTGGATGGTTGGCATCTTTAGCAACGCCATAACGAATAACTGTTTGCCATGGAGAAAACTTTTCCTCTTCACTGGGACTTGAACTTTCATATTCATTGGGACTGTCCTCTTCAGATCTGTACATCAATGTCATACTATCATCGTAATCATGATCCAATCTTATTCTCTTTCCACCAACCATAGGTATATCCTCTCCCCAATTGGCCCTTGGCTGTTCAGCAATCATAGCACCAACACCAGTCAATTTTTTGCCTCGTCTGGAAATGGTGTAATGTAAAGGATTGTGGCCTTCACGTCTAATCATCTCTGGTAGAATTCGTCTTCGTGCATTTATAAACCAATTGCAAACTTGTAAAACTGTAAGATTGGCTTCTTGGGATAACGTAAGTTTTTCAGCGTCACTCGGATAGGCATTGTATCTGTGTTCGTACAACCATCTTTTTAGTATTTTAACTGAGTGTTTGGGTAGATTTCCGCGACGCTTTCTGACCGGCGTGCCAATGCCAATGCCGTGATTCGTGATATTCGGGAGTTGTACTTGCTGCGAGTGATCATCTTGTTCCGAACCAGATTCGTTCTCGTCCGTGCTACTGCTAGATTGAAATCTGTCGCGATCTGGAAATTGGGACATTTGTAGAATTTCTGACAAAGTAAGACAAATTTCAATTTCAATTTGAAAATTATTTTTAAATGTAAACAAGTTACGCGGCAACAAACAAATAAACAAATGAAATGAGTGACAGTTGAAGTTGAAATTCCAATGTCAACTCTTGGCATTTACCGCGCCAATAAAAAGTTGGAATTAAAAGGACGCTTTTGCTAAAAATACACTTACAAATATCGGAAATCAAATCTTCAGCCATAATTCTTACAAATTTGCATCAATAACACAATTAAAACACATTTTAACTCGTTTAAAAACCGTTCTTACTTTTTAAATAAACCAAAACACGTTCTAATGACAACTGGGAACTGACATTTGACAGAAATGGCTACCTCGTGGTCGCTTCATCATAATAATCATGCCGCTTGTTGCAAAATACACAAAAATAGTAAACCCGCTATAAAAATTTCGTTGTCAGGCAAAATAACCATGCAATTTAATTTATTTTTCAAGTCATAATTAAATGTATCCTAAATTAGAATTCCCAATACTTACGGGCTTTCATATTCAAAGTTGACAGTTAACGTCAAATCCAAAAAATAAATTTACGTAATAGGTTCACTTATTTATTTTAACACATAACAAGGCAATAATTTACACCAAAGCTTTACAGAAAACCGAAAACTAATTTGATAACCAAAAGAATGACATTCAAAAATGCCTAATGAATAAAATTTAAATTTTAATGAAGCTGCAATAGGACAATTCACTAAGAACTCTGTGTCGTATGCACCATTTAAATACACTCGTGATAACTCCTTTAGCTATTAAAAAGCCGTCATCCACTATATTTTAAATTCAAAATTTAATTTCTAGTCACGCGTGCTACAGAAATGTCACTTTATGGCGGTCAAACAAACACACGGCAAGATGACAGGCGCCTAAAAATGGCGCTGAGATTTTGACAGAGCGCCAAATTCAAAAGTTATTATGTTTTGTGGTAATCTGTGTGGTTGTATTCGACTCTTGGATGAAATTGCTGTTTTTATAATAATAGACATTTGTGTTTACGAATGTTATTTATTGTATACAAATTTATTACAATTAAAAAAATGTCAGTAAATTATGAAGATTAAAAATATCTAAATTTGGAATGCTTGTTTCTAAAGTAGTTTTGGCATTGTTCCTATTGTTTTATCTAAGTGGTATTAGGTGAGGTTTTAAATATCAATAAAACACTTGAATAATCAATAATCCTTTAGTTGCATTTAGGATACATTAAAAACTTTATATTCCTCTAATCTACAAAAATAAAACACTTAGGAAACAGTTTGAAGTATAAATAAGAAACATTAGAATAACAATATTTTTTTAAGGGACATTTTATAACGTATATATAAAATACAACAAATTAAAGAGCAATGCGAGGCACTACTTCCTATATTCATTTTCCTGACAATCTCTTTTGAGGTGGCCAGGTTGGTGACATAAGTAGCAAGTTTTAGTGTTTTCTGGACAGTTCCTGGAAATGTGACCAGGCCGCTGGCAGTTGTGGCAGGTCTCGTTGGATGATCTGTCCATACCTCCAGCTTCTGGACAACTTCTGGCAATATGACCAGGCTTTCTGCAATTATAGCAGGACGGCATATCAGGACTTTGAAGGCAATCCTTGGCGAAATGACCTTCTCCATAACAACGATAACAACGAGCTGAATCTTCCTTGCAGTCTCTGGCATAATGCCCAATTTTGTTGCATTTGTGGCACTTCTCCCTACTTCTGTTGAATCCTCCTCTTCCACTGTCTCGGCCCCCCGGCACCGAACATTCTCTGGCAAAATGACCAGGTTGGTTGCACTTGTAGCAAATACTATTGGAACTCATTTTAAATCTAAAACAAACAATGAAATAAGTAATCCAATTAGATAATTAGGTATAAGATGATTTGCATAAAATTACTTGACAAATCCACGTCTAATTTCTATTAACGCTTGTTATAATATGAAAATGATTTAATAATTTCTCTAAATATTGGAAAGTAAGTGCCCTAATTATATGAATAAAATGAAAGCCTAAATAAATTATAACACAAAGAATAAAAAAATGAAAAATTTAACAAAATCCTTCAAAAACACGAAAAAACAATTAAGAAACAACATACGCAATTAAATGTACGATTATATTTTCAAACAATAATCAAACAACTTCAAAATTAAATTATTTGTAAAGTAGTCCACGTGTTTCCCTCATTTTGTGTAGGTGACTATAAACATTCTCCTTAACAAACAAAGGATTCTTTCTCACCTTCAATACAAAATTTCACGTCGTTGTTAAGTACGAATATATACTTATTTGTGAAAGAAACAGATTAAATTCACTTAAACTTTGCCACATTCGAGTCAAATATGTTGCAATAAAACGAAAGACTTGTAAAATATGTACAAGAAGATGAAAAACCGGTACTACGCGCATTAAATGCCTGTTTCTGAGTGCGCATGTTCTTTGCACAGTTTCTTTTCTTCCACATCCGCTTTAAAAGTGCGGGAAAATGGATTTTATTAATCAGCCTCCAATCACAATTTTAGCGCTTGCACATTGTGCAATGCACAATTAGGTACATAATAAAATAAAAAATATATTTAATAAGTACTTTTAAGTCCAATTCTCTCTCAGTTGTTTGATAACATAATAATAATAAATAATAAAAGCTAAAACAAACCAAAAACTTAACTTCAAAGGCCATAAAAAAATTCTAAAATAAATGTTTTAATACCTTATGCGGCATAGGTATTTTCAAATTAAAAACTTACGTAAATATTTATAAAAACACCTAAACATACACACACAGAACATAACCTCAACTTAAAGCCGAAAAATGTCAGTGTCAATTAAGGTTTCATTTCTTCTTCTATTTGCTTTTATAAACTTTTCACGAAGCCAGGTAAGCTTTGACACACACTTATATAAAAATAATTAATTAAAAATTCATTTTAGTTACCTTTTGATTTTTCAAAAAAGGGTCACACAAATAATTGGGCGGTGTTAGTTGATACAAGTCGGTTTTGGTTTAATTACAGACATGTCGCAAATGTTTTATCAATTTATAGAAGCGTTAAAAGGTTGGGTATACCCGACAGTCAAATTATATTGATGATTGCTGATGATATGGCTTGCAACCCAAGAAACCCGAGACCAGCGACTGTGTTCAACAATGCTAACCAGCATATTAATGTTTATGGGGATGATGTTGAAGTAGATTATAGAGGATATGAGGTAAACATTAAAAATATTTTTTTGTTTAATTTGGTACCTACAGGATTTATCAAACAAATATGACAAATATTTTGTTTTATTGTCCTATGTCTAGGACCTCTGCAGGTTGAAGTAATGTGGGTTTTGTGATTTTTCTTCACTAATTTTAATAAAAAACTTATATTTAATAATATTTTGCTGGGGCCTTATTAATAAGGCCTAGTGATGTAAAATACCCAGGTATTTACCCGGGTATTTACCCAAATAGGGTATTTACCCGGGTATTTACCCAAATAGGGTATTTATAGGGGTATTTCGATTTAAATCTTGCATAAAAATAGCTTGAAATCAATAAATAGTTTTATTCAATATAGTGAAGTATACTGTAGTAGTACCTACCTTAGATCTTAGATAATATTATTTAAAACTTGGTTTTTTGAATTTTTTACATAAATTTTGAGGTTATGAAAAAAAATTGTAATTATAAAAGTTGTAGATCCTTTTATTACCTACAACTTTGCCATTTAACTTTTTTCCATAGGACTTGTAGTTTTGCAGGAAATCGAGATAAACCATTTTTTACCCTTAAACCCCCCCCCTCCCACTTCCCGAAGTCAGATCGCCCGTAATTTATTTTTCCTTTCATTTTTATTATATTCTTCTCCTTTTCCAATGGGTTTCATCCTACTGTTATTTTTTTTGGTTTCAAAATTATCAACAATTAAGCGGTTTTCCACGATTAAGTGCGTTCAGAGACAATTCTAGTACGTTTATGTTTATATGGTTTAATAGGGAAGTTTAATATTATTTAAAGTATAAATAATAACGCATTTATCAAAAATACCCAGTTTTGGGTAGGTAAATAAAATTTGGGTATTTACCCAGGTATTTACCCAAATTTTATTTACCTACCCACTGGGTATTTACCCTATCTACATCACTAATAAGGCCCCAGCCCTAATTAGGGCAAAATTAAAACAAACATTAATAAATAACTAATCTGGGTAGGTATCTAAAAAATAAAACAATTACTTACTTAGGATTTTTTACTTCTCTGTTATCTATGGGAATACCTCCTGAGTCATAAAAATTTGTCTTCAAATTAATTAACATTTTATAATTTACTAAAGAAAAATAAACTTTATTGGATAATTTTAACAGGCTTATGAGTTTCTGCCTATTTACAGAACCTAATTATAATATAATATAAGCAGGGACCCGGACCGAAACCGAAAAAAAACGAAAACCGGAACGGAACCGGTTTTTTTTTTCGAACCGAAACCCGAACCGGAACCGTTTTCGCTTTTGATAAAATCTGTTGGACCGGAACCGAAACCTTTATTTGCTTTCATTCTAATAAAATTATATAACATATATATATATATATATATGTGAGGTTATATATAGATTAAAATTACGTAAAACAAATAACCTCACTGGAACCGCATAAAACCGAAAAGAACCGAACCGTTATAACTCCACGAAACCGAAACCGGAATCGGAACCATTAAAACGAAAATAGGGTGAACCAAAACCGTACCGGAACCGATATTTCATTTCGGTCCGGGTCCCTGAATATAAGGCCCATAAAAGCCAAGGGGTTGGGTTGTTTTTGTTTAGTATTGAAATGATCATGACCATGCATTGATCATGTACAATTATAATTTTGTTATTTGGGGTCAAAATTTTTAGTTGTTTTATGACCTTGTTTTTTTAAACTTTACAATTAGAATTTAGTTACATCCCTTGGCTACTAAGTAAAACGTATATTTTACTATATATACCCAGCAAGCAACAATACTTTGAGAAAACGTCGAATTTGTTTCGGCCTGACGCGTCGCGATCCAGGGTGTCAAGACCCCCCCAAACAATTTTATCAATAAAAAATAAATAAATACAACTTTCATTACAATCCAAACATAATTAAATCGTTTAAATAATACTTAAGGAGGTTCGGGCACGATATTAGTCGCTACTTAAAAGACATTACCAAGTTTTAGAAAGATTGGCCGTCTGGTTTCCGAGTAAAAAATTATTAAGTTGCTAAGATTACATGGGCTGTTATCGTAATTGTAAACTATGTTGTGAATGTTAACAAAAACTTATACAGGTATAAGTGCATTCGAGAAAAAAAATCATCAATTTCTTATTGTCAAGTTATAAGATTTGCCTATGCACTTTGCCTAAAGAAGTGCCATATAAATTTTTGTTTACTTTCACCGGACAGTTTTGAAATAATAAACGATAATGTTGACTGTGTCCAACCAAAATTATCAATCTTTTATTATCGTCTAGAAGATCCGGATTGGATTGTGAATACGTGATTATTTGGTGACTACCATAATATAGTTTTTAAAATAAATTATTTAAAAAAACACACACAATTGTATTAAGTTATTTATTATAAGTTATTTTTTTTAATAATTAGACAATCCTTCTACTTTCTATGGTTTTCTTCTCTTTGTTTTTTGCTCTTCTCTTTAGACTATCGCTGCATTCGACATACTGCATGTTTTCCAATACTTTTTTTTTAAATATTTTTTCTTGGTAGTTTGGTAGTTTATTCGTTTTCTCAACCCATTTTTAGATTTTAAAAATAGAAATGTCACTGCCACTGTAAAAAGCGAAAAGCGTTACCATGGAAACCATCAACAAGTCGCAATGTTGTCGCGTTTAAAGCGGATTTATAGATCGGACCTAAAATGAACAAGGTGTATGTACTGTCCGTTCAGGCTAAGTTGAGCGGTCTAAGGAATGTCACCCAGTTCATCATCTCTATGTACAGGCACAATTAAATACATGTATTTCGGCAGCCGCTCTGTACGAACAAACGACAAGCCGCGGCACTGATAAATCATCTTATTACCAAAATCTCGCGACGATTCGATATTTAATTTAATCAACGGCCATATAATCCCCACCAAAGCGCTCAACTTAGCCTGAATGGACTGTATCTTGTAAAATGAAAAATAATTTGCTGTTGGGTACTTTTGGTGTGTTGTTATCCTCAGCTGCAATCATCTGAAATTAAAATTTAAGTTTAAGTTTACTGTAATTAAAAATATATTTTAAAATCGTCTATAAGTACATTCATTTCAATAAAAAATCGACAGGAAACTATTATTTAGGAGATTCAGGAATGAATTTGGACATTTAAACCCTTTGATCACCGCGTGTTTTTCAATCTGGCCACTTCTCTGTATACATGTAGAAGTAGTCAAATTGCAAACACTCGTTTATCAAATTTTCTAAAATTCATTAATGTTTTATTTTAAATTACAAATTATCTGGAGCATTTGGTAGATTTTTTTTAAATTTATAGAGGGTGTTTAAATTTATACAGGGTGTTTCCAATATCTTTGAATTTTGACCTGATACAGCTAAACCAAGCATGGATTCTATCTGAGTATTCTTTCCAAATTTCATAAAAATCGCACGTTTAGTTAAAGAGTAATCGCGAGTTTAATTTAAAGAATTTTGTTGAAATTCAACGGTCTTCATGCTGTGCATCGCGTTCATCCCCTCTCTTGCCTACTGGCCACGCGCTGCGTCTCTTCTGCTTTCCGGGCATTCAATTGACAGAGCCTTTAATACTAATAATAAAGTCCAGAACCCTCAGTCATAAAAACATCTTTCTTTTTGTTAAAATCGTAGTTTTTAGAAATTTTCTGGGGCAAAGGTATATTATTTTTATAGAACATGTATCTTACTTTGAGCCTGAAAGTTTAGGGAGCGCCATGTAGTATATGGCATTTACTATTATTCACCCTTTCCTGTATTTGAAATATACAGGACATAAAAACACTTGGGTCCTTTCCTTCTTAACTTTGGCCCATGTTACGATAATTTAGCACAGGGCGTCGATTTCTCTGCAGCCGGCACTGCATGCAAGCATAGCAAAATATTTTTAAAAATTGTTTTAATAATAAGAATATTATTTAGGCTATAAAACATTTACTTAATTATTATATGATTTATTATACATTTACGGCAGTAAAGTTTTTTAAAATTTCTTAAAATTCTAGGTAACTGTTGAGAATTTTGTTCGTCTACTCACTGGTAGACTGCCACCAGGGACCCCTCGTTCCAAACAACTGTTAACTGATGAAGGCAGTAATGTTTTGGTATATTTAACTGGCCACGGAGGTGATGGATTCCTAAAATTCCAAGATTCTGAAGAAATAACCAGCCAAGAAATGGCCGATGCTTTGGAACAAATGTGGCAAAAACAAAGGTATCATGAAACATTTTTTATGATCGATACTTGCCAGGCTGCCTCTATGTATGAAAGATTTTATTCTCCTAATATTTTGGCTGTTGGTAGTAGTTTAATTGGAGAAGATTCATTATCTGTAAGTTTGGTAAATTTGTAATGAAATACAATTAAAATTGTATTTTTAGCACCATGTTGATCCTGCTATTGGAGTTTATATTATTGATAGGTATACATACTATGCTTTGGACTTTTTGGAAAGTGTAGATCCACAAAGTAATAAGTCCATGGGAGAATTTGTGAGTTTTCCAGCTTATAACATAATATAATAATTATTAAATAAAATAATTTTCTTTTTCTACCCCTATTTCATAATCTGTCTATTGATTAATATTGACATTATTTGTGTTTTTTAAACAGCTTTTTTTCAGTTTGGTTACAATTATAAATAACCCCAACAGGAATAATGAACTTATTATTCCGGTTGTTTGGCTTGTTTGATTGGCTGATTTCATTATTTACTGTGTTTTTAATAACCAGGTTTTAAATTGAAAGAAAGGTTTTGAAAATTATTTTATTGCAGTAGAAGTAGGTAGGTACTACTTAGTCTCTATTTATATTAATTTTTTTTAGCTCAAAGTTTGTCCAAAATCCGTTTGCATTTCAACAGTTGGAGTAAGAAAAGATTTATTCAGAAGAAACCCAGATCATGTACCAATAACAGACTTCTTTGGATCTGTAAGGCCAGTGGAATTAATTACTGAAATTCCAAAATTGTTACCCAAACCAAATATTGCTAAACCAAAAAATATAACCATTGAAAAACCAAAGAAATACAGATATATACCACAGCTAGTCAATTTTGATTCCTTTAAGGAAAAGTAGTATTATTTATTTTAGTTTTTAAATAAAAAAAATTGTTTTGTAAATTTTTATTTTTGTATTATTAATTACAGACTGTTTCCTTAAGGCTGGTGCAATGACGTCCTGAGTATGTTTGTGCTGCTTTTTTAAACAACTAGCATAATTTTCACATAAACAATTTTTCACATTTTCCTTAACCCATAGAGCACAAAGTCGTCCATATGGTGTCCATAGGACATCCATCTCTGTACAAATGGATATCCATAGTATGTCCAAGAATATTATATGGACGTTCCATGTACGTACATACAGTGTGACCCATTTGTTTGCGACTCACCCCTGTAAAATCTTTATTTATTGTGCGATTTTAACCGGATTTGTTTTAAAGTGTAGATATTGATAAACTGTATTTTTGGAGCAAAAGACGCCATATTAATACAAAATACAAGGCCTACTAGTTTTAAAGAGTAAATTTTTAAGAATTCATATTAGCGATTTTTTTAAACAAAATATAAGCACGGCACTGGATTCACCACCCCTCAAAACTATCCTATACTAAATTTTATTGAAAAATTTTAAGAAAAAATAAGCACAAAAATAACTACAAAAATTTATTTTGTCAAGTTATCCATGAAAAAAACATTGAAATAAAATTAAACTAATATTAACATGGTAGTACCAAATTTTATTAAAAAATTTTAAGAAAAACATGCAGAATAATAACTACAAAAATTTGTTTTGTCAAGTTATCCAAGAAAAAACATTGAAATAAAATCAAACTTACTTACTAGTAATAGTACCATGATGTAATGGCATAGCTGAACATTAATTGTTTGAAGTCTCCATCCTCATCTGCTCAGTAACGAATAATGGCTATAGTCAATTGTGTTATTATTATTGGTTTATTCACTGTGAATATACCGCTAAAATACGGTGGATTCACCGTCTAACTACCGTTTACAAATGTCACAAACAGACGGTTTGTTCACGGTGAATTCACGATGAATTCACGGTGAATAAACCGTGAACTCAAGGCCGCAAGGGTAGGCCTAGGAGGGTAGGTATATCCTATAGGTTTAACACAATCGACTAGCTATGGCTATAGCCATTATTCGTTACTGAGCAGATGAGGATGGAGACTTCAAACAATTAATGTTCAGCTATGCCATTACAGACGCACACTTCCAACTAAATATTGCAACCCAACGCTATTTATATATAACGGCTGCTTATGCAAGCGAGCTAACTATAGTTAGCTCGCTTGCGTAAGCAGCCGTGAGATGTATTGCTTAAACCGCTTAACACAAAAATCGACTAATAAAAAAAACCGCTAATAAATGGCGTCCAACTTGTTGTTTTTTCTTTATAAATCATATATGATGGCGTCTCAACCTCGTTGATTTTGCGCAGCTATACGAGTGCCCTCTTGCGATATTTGTATTGTATTGGGAATACCCAATTAGCAGATTATTCGAATTTTTGCTTTATAATATATATATATAATACTTTTTCTATGATTTGCGGTGTTTTCACAGTAAACTCACAGCGCTTTTTCGGTGTTTTCACGGTGATTTCAGGATAAATTTACGGTACTTTCACAGTGAATTTGCGGTGATTTTGCAAACTTGAGTTCACCGTGAATTTACCGTGAAATCACCGTGAATTTATCGCAAAAACAGCGTGATTTCACCGTTTAATTACCGTCTACAAATGTCACAAATGGACGGTATATTCACTGCACATAAACGGTGTATTCACGGTGAATTCACGCAAACGGTGAATTCACCGTAAACTCAAGGCCGCAAGGGTAGTTAGCTCGCTTGCGTAAGCAGCCGTGAGATGAATTGCTTAAACCGCCTAACACACTTACAATTTGCGGTGTTTTCACAGTCAATTTACGGTGTTTTCACAGTAAGTTTAAACTCACAGCGCTTTTACGGTGAATTCACGGTGATTTCACGATAAATTTACGGTACTTTCACAGTGAATTTGCGGTGATTTTGCAAACTTGAGTTCACCGTGAATTTACTGTGAAATCACATTGAATTAACCGTGAAATCACCGTGAATTTATCGCAAAAACAGCGTGAGTTCACCGTTTAATTACCGTCTACAAATGTCACAAATGGACGGTATATTCACAGGACATAAACGGTGTATTCACGGTGAATTCACGCAAACGGTGAATTCACCGTAAACTCAAGGCCGCAAGGGAAGTAATTACTTACTTATGGGGTATTTTAAGCAGGGATGGGACATGAGACGTACAAAAACGTGCCGTAAAGATTCCAAGCGGTGGGCGTGGTTTAGCACACTATAGTGTATAGTATACTATATAGTACTATATAGTATATATATTTCATAATTTGTTTGAATTAGTCTTTGCGGTAAAAAAAAAACCGGCTATTGGAAAGAGGTCGTCCATAAATCTCGTGACGCTGGAAGGGGGTTGGGTTTTTTAAAACGTCATGTGTAGAGTAATCATGATTACAACCCGGACAACAATCGGGATTTCCTGGTGAAGTCATGATAATATCACAACGTGATTTTTTTTAGCACGCTGTGATATCCTGGGTGCATATATGCATGTGTATACACATGCTTCATCACAGTGATATCATGTAGAACTCAAGGTGTGATATTTGCAAAATTTGCGCATGCGTATGAGCCCTGCGAACTGCGAATTTAAAACCTAGTTTGTTATTGACATTACACCGTTATAATTTATAAAACGTTGTTTGAATATCACGAATGTTGTCCGGGTTCAATTAAAATAGATATTCCAATGTTTAACAAAACGTGAACGTTTACATCATGTCGTGATTTTCACGACATGATTTTTTATGCCATCGGTGTTTGGATATTCATTTTTGCGACACATTCGTACATTGAAAGAAAAAGTATGTTAACATGTTATTGAATTGCAATTGAATCAACAGTTTAACATGTTATTGAATTGCATATATAGTTCATTTACCGCAAAAACTGTTGATTCAACATAATTTTTCTCTTAGTGTACTAACGTAGCGCAAAAATGATTATCCAAACACCGATGGCATAAAAAATCACGACATGATTTTTTGTGCCATTGGTCAATCGCAAACAGCGATGGCATAAAAAATCACGACATGATTTTCATTTCTCACGCAGTGACATCCGGATGATGTCCGTATGAATAAAATTTGTGAATATCACGACGTGACGTTCGTATGATTTTCATTTATCACGCGGTGACTTCCGTATGATATCAGTATGAATAAAATTTGTGAAAATCACGACATGATGTTCGTATGAAAATCACGAATGTTGTCCGGGCAAAGTGCACTTTGTAATAATCTTACTATAGTAAGATTTCATTTCATTTAAATCAAATGAAATTACTTATTGATATATCAATAATTAGGTAATTTCATTTGATTTAAATGAAATGAAATTGCCTATTGGTCCCATTCTTGGTCAGATTATTACAAAAAAGAACCGAAATATATATTTTTAGGGGGTTGGGGAGTTCCATAAATCGTTATAACGATATCGTTATAACGATATATATCGTATGTATACAAGGGTCATGTATATATATATACATGACCCTTCGTGACCATGCATGGTCGGCCTCTCACGAAAAAGCACCGCCCATCACCGAAAACCTATTACCTATACGTTTTCGTTTAGATAACAAATTATAAATGATATAAATTATACAGCACGCTTTTTCAACGTAGTTGACTATCCTGGTATATGTATCCTTGGACCAATTCCGAATAAAAATATATCTATAGGCCGATTTATCACCTAATTTAACTGTTAAATAAAGGGTTTTGAAAGACCAGTCATAGAAAGTAAACGAATTTTCAATTATCCCTTGATGAACACTTTATTAAATATTAGAATGCATACAACTCCGTGATTTATTATGTAATGAGCGAAAGTTTCGCTGCGAAACTGGCAATATTAAAATTTCTCCCTGTATATAAAACGGCTAACTTCACGGTGGATGGGCTTGCCAAGTTGTCAACTTTTTGACCAATCAGGAATGGCCGCTACGAAAATCAAGTAACCTCTACCGTGTGTGTGCGTGTCATGTTTTTGGTTGTCAAAAATGGTTCAAGCCGGGTCGAAAAAAACACAAGTCCCAAAATTAAGTAGCAAAACTGGAATAAGTAGTTTAATTATTTTCGTGGTTCTCCTATTAGCATGGATTGTCGGCTTTTCGTCGCGTTTATTTGCTGTCATTAGGTTTGAAAGTATCATTCATGAATTTGATCCATGGTTAGTAGTAAATCATACAAAAAGATAAATTTGTATTAAATTAATTTCTAGGTTCAATTACAGAGCCACTGCTTATATGGTTAAGCATGGATTTTACAATTTCTTAAATTGGTTTGATGAACGAGCATGGTACCCATTAGGAAGAATCGTAGGGGGTACTGTGTACCCCGGCCTTATGTTAACATCAGGCAGCATTCACTATTTTCTGCATTTGCTGCATATAAATGTCCATATTCGTGATATATGTGTATTTTTAGCTCCTGTATTTAGGTATGCACCTATTTGCATAGATTACAACAATAATATAATACAAATATTTTTATTTACAGTGGTTTAACAGCAATTTCCACTTATTTCTTAACTAAAGAACTGTGGTCTGCTGGTGCTGGACTTTTCGCTGCTTGTTTTATTGCAATTGTTCCTGGCTATATTAGTAGATCAGTTGCAGGAAGCTATGACAATGAAGGCATTGCAATTTTCGCATTGCAATTTACCTATTTCTTATGGATAAAATCAGTTAAGACTGGCTCAGTTTTCTGGGCAATTACTGCTGCACTTTCCTACTTTTATATGGTAAGCATTTTGGTTAGATATGTAAACAATTTTAAGTGGTTGATTCTTATCTTTGTAAATTTGTTAAGCAAATATGAGATATCCTGTTTTAAGAATTTTATCATAAATATGCTTACCAATCATTTCCTTTATATTGTTAAATTAGTTTATTGAATTTAAACATTTTGCTTTAATCCAATTGGGTTAAGCTCTAAGTCTAATATAATTAAGAGATATTAAAAAGTTTTCATTTGAAAAACTGCATATACAGAGTGTCTAGAAGTAAAAAAATAATAATAGGAAATGTTTTATAATTTTAAAGCATAAATAAATAATCAAGTAAATACCTTATAACCCAAAAGTTTCTCATAAAAAAATAATTTGGTATGGCATTAGAGCACCATTTTTGGGACACCCTGTATAAAATTATGAATAATCTCAAATTGATCTACAATTATTTAATTATTTAACATCTGAATACCTACTACATGGAACAAACAGTTAAAATTTTAAATTTAAAAAATTAATTTTTGGTTTAAAAACTTCAACTAAGGTAATGTTGACTGGTTTATTAAAAATTAACTTTTGCAAAATTATATACAAAATTTAATCAACATGTTTAAAAATATTTTATACATTTAAATTTTCTTTTTCTTATACAAAGAATAAATTTTAAAAAATTTGTTGTGTTTTAAAATGCGTCAAACTTAATTTTGTATTATCTTTTTTTACAAACTTGTTATAGGTATGTCACATAATATTATTTTTCTACTCCCACCTTTAAAACGCCCTTTATCGTACATGTTTCCATGACACTAAGTGACCTTTTAAATACACATTGGCAAGTTGTGGCTTTATGGCGCTTTAGTCACGGGCTGAAGTTAGCAACAGGTTTTTAGTCACGGCCTGAAGTTAGTTTTAAGTTAGTTGACAGTTATCAAATGTCATACAATCGTTAAAATAAAGCGCCTTTCTTGTAAAATAATACTAATTGTGAAAATTATTTTATTATTTCAATACAAAAATACAAAAGTATTAAATAGTTTCTCAACGCCAATATTTGAAAAGTTTATATGAACATTGTACTGACCTTTTAATTTCGCCGGCAGTAAACTATAACATAAATTCGGGCACGGCACTGTAAATTCCTCATAAAACATTTTCTTTACTTTCACTGTGAAGAACTGTAAATTTTTAAGAAATACATTTTGATTTATAACCTTTATAATCTGTGTTTATAAAAGTTAAAAATGTCACATTTGACGGTGACACAGATTCCCTTATTGTATCATAGATGGCGCTCTATAATTTTTGATTTAAATCATTTTAAGATAATATTAAGTATTTTTCGTAAAAAAAGTATAGTATGCACCTCGTTTATAAACTTTTCTATACACTCATTAATTTAAAAAAAAATGGCGTTTACCAGACTTGATACATAATATACTATTATATGGTTTTGAATTAAATATTAATAAAATGAAATAACTCATGAGGCACCACTACAAGTATTCTTAGGTAATTTAGCTAATTTTTGATTCGCCCACAAAGTAAGAGTGGGTATTTTATAACAATGCATACTTTCCTTTATATAAATTTGTGTTTAATAATAAAATTTAAATTTAATATACTTTGTTCTAAAACCACAGTACTAGAGTTAAATAACAAAAACATAAGTTAAGAAATCAAGTTATTAGTACATGTTTTTAGAAAAAAGTATTTTTATTATTAAACATAATATGTGTAATTATCAAACACTTGTTTGCATGCTAGGGTGTTGGTAATACTTACCCCTTATTTTAAGCCTTGTTTTTTACTAAAAAAAATTAGTTTATTTTATAAATTTATAAATCAAACTAAAATGTGTGTATAATAAACAAATTATCGGTTTAAAAAGTATGTATTTAAACAATCATGGTATTGTTTTCCAGGTATCAGCATGGGGAGGATATGTATTTATAATAAATTTAATTCCGCTTCATGTATTTGTTCTACTTTTAATGGGCAGATTTTCAAACCGTCTATTTACAAGTTACACCACATTCTACATTATAGGTTTGATTTGTTCTATGCAAATTCCATTTGTGGGTTTCCAACCAATTAGAACAAGTGAGCACATGGCTGCCTCTGGTAAGAACATCATAGTTTTTAAAACTAAATATTGTTATTATAAATTTTTTTTAGGTGTATTTGTATTATTATTTGCCGTGGGAGCCCTGAAATATCTACAAAGCATGCTCTCTAAATCTGAATTCAAATCAGTCGTTATTTATGGTGGTCTTATTGCTGCTGCTTTGGTATTTTTGACAGTTGTGTTGCTTACATATGCTGGCTATATTGCTCCATGGAGTGGAAGGTAAATTTAATTACTAATTACTATTATAATACTCCTACTATATAGAGTATCTGGGAAATATGTCTAAAAAGAAATAACAGAAATACCTTAGCTCTATTTTACTCATATCCAGTTGTTTTGTTTAGTGAAAAATTTATAACTAGTTAAAAATCTACCAGGAAAAACCAGCTTTGATATGAGATTTATTTATTTTGAAAAAGGAATCTATATTATTTCTATTGTACACATATTTCCTGCACAATGTTAAATAAAAGCAGAAAAAAATTGATTTATGTCATATATCTATATCTCCTATATGGGTTGACAACTCATTAAATGAGTTTCATTCAGTGTGTAAATGTTCTTGCTGTATAAGGAGGGAAATGGAAAATTTTTGCACATGTGCCTTACAATATACCACACCCAGTTTGAAATACGGTAAATTGTTTCACCTTCATGCAGGGTTGCCAGTTCGGTTTTCATTCCTTCAGTAAATATGTAGCCAAAAATTCAGTAGATTTCAGTAGACTTATTTTTTGCTCTACAAATTTCAGAAAAGGGTACTAAAATAAAACTATAACGTCGAAAAAATATGTATTTATTTATAAATGAAAAAAAGTCTCCAAGGGTAACAAAATAGCAACAAAAAATGTGTTATAAACCTTCCTTCGAATTCCGGTGCTCCGATGTTAAACATATTTATTTTTTTCTTTGACGGACCGGAACCTTCATTTTCAGAGTTATAGTCCTCACTTGAACTAAAAGATAATACGGTGTACCTATTTAAAATTACATAAGTGCACTTACCTCATATTTTTGCAACTGAACAATAAAAAAATAAATATGTAATTAAAAATAAAATATTAATTATTATAATTCAATAAACCGAATTTATTATAAACGGAAACAAAGTCCCCGTCACCGTGGTCTTTCACATAACCTCTACTCTTTCACATAATTCCCCCGTAATCCCCGACGGGGATTCCCCGAGGCCCGTGGTCAGTATTACCAACATATCAAGCGCTAAGACGAGTTAGAATTTTAAATAGTGCTTGTAAATGTATTTAAATAGAGGGTTCGGAATTTAATGCAAGATAAATGTAAGTGATATATTATTGATAACCATAATAAATAAACCTCATATTTTTTTCAGTAGATTACAACATTTTTCAGTAGATCAGAAGATTAATCAGCAAATCAGTAGTCCACTGAAAAATCAGTAGAACTGGCAACCCTGCCTTCATGTGTTCTATAATTTAGTATAACTCTAGTTTTGGAATAATATTATTTTGTTAATTTGTTGCATACATTTTTTGTTTTTTCTTATTTTATTTTTTGCTTTGTAATGAAACCTTAAATTAATATAAATTTGTTTAATAATAAGATAATTTTAAGGCTTTATAGAACAAATCGCTCGTTTAAATAAGAAATCATAAAAAAATGCAAGATTCAGCTTGTTTATTTGGACTTAGTTATAATGTTTTGGTTATACATAAGTCACTAATTGCGCCTATATTATTTGGAAAATAGAACATCTTTCAATAAAAAATTGTAACCCTTATATTTTAAATTAAAAATTTTAATCAAATTTAAAAAGAAATCCTGGAAAATAAAATACAGGGTGTCCCATAACTAATGGAAAATACAACAATTGTAGAAATAGGAGGTCAAAATAGGTTGATTAACAAAAATATGCCTTAGTAAAATGTTAATAATAAACGAGATACAGGGCGATAAATGTGAGATCTGATTTTTGAAAATTTGTTATACACTCACAGGCAAAATAATCGATCCACACAAATTTTCGATGAATTTCAATAGCAAATAACTTTTTTATTTGATTTCGGATTTAAACAAATATTAAAGAATATTGTAGATACATTAATGGAGAATCGCTCACATTTTAAAAAATACTAAAAAATACACGTACGTTTATAATATACAGGTTTAAATAAAAGATGTTTTTTACCATAAGTTTAAGACACTCTGTAGAGGGGCAAAACCGTATTATAGATAAATTAATGGACAATCGCTCGCATTTTAAAAAATTACTAAAAAATTTACGTACGTTTATAATATACAGGTTTAAACAAAAAGATGTTTTTTACCATAAGTTTAAGACACTCTGTAGAGTGGCAAAACCGTATATTGTTCTAAATTAAGTTTTATTTATTAAGTCACATCTATTCTTAACAGTTTTGTTTTTGGTTCACCTTGATATATTTATTTTTGTGGAAAATATGGATTTTTAAAAAAAAACATTGCAATTTCCAATATTTTTTCTGTATGAAGAACTAAGGTTGCTATGGTCCATCCATAGCCTATGGAGGATGACAGTGACAGTTTTGTTGAATCATCCCATACCTGGACATGTCAAATACAGCTTTCAAAAGCTATCAAATTGTTTTTTGTAAATTAATGTGTTAATTTTAAGGTGGCTTCTTACTTTTAAAAATGTCTCTGACTGATGTTGCCCTTTGTACTTTACTTCTTGTGACGTTTAAAACACTTGCCAAGTAATACTGTGACCGTCCATCCTGGATTAAATTAATGGCTCTGGCAACATCAGTTGGAGACATATCCATTTTTTAAAGTAAAAAGACACCTCAAAATTTAAACATTAATTTGCAAAAAACAATTTGATAGCTTTTGAAAGCCGTGTATGACATGTCCAAGTATGGGATGATTCAACAAAACTGTCACTGTCATTCTTCATAGCCTATGGATGGAACATAGCAACCTTAATTCTTCATACAGAAAAATATTGGAAATTGCAATGTTTTCTAAAAAAAATCCATATTTTCCACAAAAATAAATATATCGAGGTGAACCAAAAACAAAACTGTTAAGAATAGATGTGACTTAATAAATAAAACTTAATTTAGAACAATATACGGTTTTGCCACTCTACAGAGTGTCTTAAACTTATGGTAAAAAACATCTTTTTGTTTAAACCTGTATATTATAAACGTACGTAAATTTTTTAGTAATTTTTTAAAATGCGAGCGATTGTCCATTAATTTATCTACAATATTCTTTAATATTCGTTTAAATCCGACATCAAATAAAAAAGTTATTTGCGATTGAAATTCATCGAAAATTTGTGTGGATCGATTATTTTGCCTGTGAGTGTATTTGGAAAACTATTCAATGTATCAAACTCAAAATTTGTACAAAATAGCTTTTAAGGACGAGAAATACAAATTTGTCATAATATTTTATGCTACTCTTAGAGGGCGCTAATGATACATGTCGAATTGGGTGAATTAATACTTACTTTTAGGACATGTGTCATTGGCGCCCTCTAGGAGTAGCATAAAAAATTATGACAAATTTGTATTTCTGGTCCTTAAAAACTATATGTACAATTTTTCCAAATATAACAAATTGTGACCTCCTATTTCTACAGTTGTTGTATTGCCCATTAGTTATGGGACACCCTATATAATAGAAATTAGGCAACTCTACAGTTATAGATATAGGATGTAAGTATTGTTTTTATTATTGAAATTAATATTTTATTTTTAGATTTTACTCCCTCTGGGATACAGGTTATGCCAAAATCCACATACCCATCATTGCTTCAGTATCCGAGCATCAACCCACCACTTGGTTCTCTTTTTTCTTTGATTTGCACATTTTAGCTGCTACTTTTCCTGCTGGCCTTTGGTATTGCATTAAAAATGTTAATGATGAAAGAGTTTTTGGTAAGGCATTTTATACAAATTAAAATTTAAAAATCTTATTATTTTTTTTAGTAATTTTGTATTCCATAAGTGCTGTGTATTTTGCCGGTGTCATGGTTAGATTAATGCTTACCCTTACTCCAGTCGTTTGTATATTAAGTGGTATTGCATTCTCTGGCCTTTTGGAACTATTTTTAAGAGAAGATGACAATGTTAGACCTGAAGAACAAGAAGATGAAGATCAAAACACACCCAACAAGAGACAACTGTATGATAAGGTAAGAAACACACGCAAGAACACAATAAAAGAAAAATTGAGATGTATTTAAATATACAGTGTAGCTACTTGGCAACATATAGAATTGCAAGAGAAAATTGTGGGCAATTATCTACGTCAAACAAGATACCTATTCTCAGTTAAATATCCAGATCGTTCGATTCCGTCAATTAGAACAATAACAAACGTTTTTAATTAATTTATTTACATTTATTTTAAGAAGTTTGATTTTTAGTTTTGTTTTAAGATAATTGATTTATTTATTTTAATTTGTTTTCAAGACAATTATTTTATTTTTTTATTTTAGCTTTTAAATAGAATTTTTTATGCTTAAACGTTTTTTTATAAGAATACACTTTTGGTTAAATGCAAAACAAATAATGATTTTACACCTTTAATTAATAATTTACTGTTAAAAGTGATTACGTTACATTTTAAGTATCTGAATAATTTTTAAAAGTAACTTAATAATGCGTAATTCGTATTAATAATTCAGAGCAAACTTCGACTATCACCCATCGCCGGTGAAGGGTCTACTACTGAATTACAAAACCAGGTTTGAAAACTGGTCTCTCGGGCTGAGAATTATAAAGTTTTAAATTTTGTGTTTTTTAAAACGCTGTAGCGTTCTAAAAAGTATTTTGAGAAACGTAAAAATAAAATTTTAACGACAAACTCGTATGCGTAGATTCCAAATATGCAATACAAAAATTATTAACCAATAAAATCTAAGCTTCAAATCTTTAACTAAATCCAAATATAGATCCTTAGGTAGTATTTAAAAAAATATATTTAACTTTAGGCTGGTGCAGGCGGACGTCTGCCCAAAATTAAGCACGACCAATCAAAAGAATCTGACGGCATCGGTCAAAATATTCGTAGCATCGTTACCATAGTTATAATGTTACTTTTGATGCTGTTTGCTGTCCATTGCACCTGGGTGACAGGAAACGCCTATTCCAGCCCAAGTATTGTACTCGCGTCTTACGGAAGCGACGGTAGCCGACAAATTTTGGACGATTTCAGAGAAGCCTACTTCTGGTTGTCCCAAAATACAGCTGATGATGCTAGAGTAATGAGCTGGTAAGATATTTTTTTGGTTATATAATTTTATTATAATATTAAATATGTGTGTGACGGTGGTCTAGTGGTCTAGTGCATGCTGACTACAAGCCGGAGGTCGTGGGTTCGAATCCCACCAGGGGTATGGTTGTTTATTTGTGTTTGTCCTATTGTGTATTAGTCCTTCGGAGGGGACTTTAAGCCCGCGGTCCGTTCCTACCCCTAACCCGCACAAGCCATTCAGTTGGCTTATGGGACTTCTTAAGAAGTAAGGGTGGAACTAAAAGAGCACTTTTGTATATAAACTTTATGTACAATCCCTGGCCAATTTATTAGACTCGCTCAAAAATTTTCTTTAATGTTGTGAATATTAATATTTTTCGCAAAAACCATTTTTTTTTGAGCTTTAAAACTTAATTTTGCAATAATAAACAATTTTTATGTTGAAAAGTTAATTCTTGGTATACATGTTAAAAACGGAGTATTTGGTTTGGGCACGATATTGGATTCTATGAGAAAATGTTGAAAAAATTCTAGGTTGTAGTACTTAAAAGACATTTACAAAGTTTTATTATTTCCTATTAAAAAATTATTATTAATTAAAATATTAAAGTTGCTAAGACTAAACATTTTTGTCAACTTTACCGCATTTTTGCAATAATGTTGATAATAATAATTATCAATCTATCATTCTCATCCAGAAGATCTGGCAACAATGGATTACCAACACGTGATTATTTAGGAGCGCGTTCGAAAACTCGCAAGAGTGCACTCTGGATACACTCCAAGTTTACCTTGCGCGTTCGAATTCTCTGGTATATACCTAGATATATGCAACTGTCAGCTGTTCGAAAACAGCAAGTATATGCCCAGAGTGCACTCTCGGTTGTCCAAGCTTTAGACTTGGTTAAGTTTTACCCGTCATGCGCATAGGGTACATCAAACAATAATTTGTATTTACCTTCATATAATTTATTTATAACTGAATTTATTTATAACTGTTTAAAATTCAATAAAACAAAAACGAAAAACATTAAAATAAAAGAATTTATTATAATAAATTATTTAAAAAATTTCAATTCTAAAAAACAAAACAAAATCCATCACAAAAACTTGAATAATCCATATAACTAAAGGGTTGAAATTCAATAATTTAATATTTATATGTATTCAGTCAAATAATAAGCAAAACCAATTGATTTTAGAACACTACAACATAAAGTTTATAGGTATATGCTCCGCGGCGTTCGAAAATAACAAGGAGGTTAGGTATAATGTAAAGTCACGTGATTATATACCTATCCTTATACCATATCCAAAGTACACTCTCATTTCGAACGCACTCTAGGGAAATTTGGTTTCATTTATTTGATTTATTTGTACTACCATAATTTTGTTTTAAAGTAAATTATTAAAAAAAAAACACCCAATTGTATTAAGTTATTTATCATAAGTTATTTTTTAAATTGTCCAATCCTTTTACCTTCTATGGAGAAGAACTCTTCGTATTCTGCTCTTCTCTTTAGACTTTCGCTGCATTTAACATACTGCATATTTTCTTTATTTCATGTTTCCATACCTTTTTAATATTTTTTTTGTAGCGGACTTTATTCGTTTTCACAACTAATTTTTAGATTTTAAATAACTCTTTATATAGAACTGTCACTGCCACTGTCAAAACCGAAAAATTTAAATACAATAATAATATAATAGTGCCTTTTGTATTAAAATTCTTTAGTTCCTTTGCTTTCATATTCCACCAGAGCTGGGCACGAGTATTAAAAAAAGTACTTAAAATATTTACTCATAAGTACTTTACTCAAAAGTACATTTGAAAAGAGAGCTTACGGTTACGAGTAGTAATCGCGTAAAGAGTACGAGTACTTTTGAAAAAAAATGTTAGTTAATATAATTGATTATACTTTATACATTATACATAGGTACTTTTGTCCTGAGCTATAAAAATACAAATTTATAAAATTATTTATTTTAAACATTAGGTATATAAAAATAAGTTATTTTAAATAACAATTCTTAAATAGTTTATAATTTTACCTATACTGGGTGTATCTGAGAATAGGAGCAACCCTGTAACTTTTATATATAAAGATAGACACATGAAATTTAGCATGGTTAATTAGGATATAAAATGCCACTTATAAGAGTACAAAATGAATTTTTTGAACTTCCGGTTACGCCGGAAATGATATCAACTTTCGATTTTTAAATGGAACGCCCTATATATTTTTACATATTTAGAATCCTGAGAAAATTCTGAGTCGGACAGCATCCAGTTCAAAAAATTAATTTTAGTGGCATTTTATATCCTAATTAACCATGAAAAATTTCATGTGTTTATCTTTATAAATAAAAAAGTTACAGGGGTGCGCCTATTCTCAGATACACCCGGTATACTTGTTATAAAACCTATAGGCTAGGTATAATATATTATATTATACTCTATATATTGTATAATTTAAAACTTCCAATCAAAATGTTTTGATGCTTACGATATTTTGGCAAAAAGTCATCGATATAATAAACGGAAATACTCAAATATATAACTCGTGAATTCCACAAGTATTTTTTACGAGTAGGTACATTGAATTTGGTTTGTAAGTACGAGTAATAAGTATTTCAAATACGAGTAAAAGTACTCAGTACTTGGCCAGCTCTGTATTCCACATCACATATTAACTGAAAATTAATAATAAATCTGCTAAAAACTAAGTTTGAGTCATATTCTACCCCCATCTTAAAAAAAAACAACCATATTTGTTTTTTAAAATACAAAATAATTATATTCTTAAGGTGGGATTATGGTTATCAAATAGCCGGCATGGCGAACCGTACAACGTTGGTGGACAACAATACTTGGAACAACAGTCACATAGCTTTGGTAGGTAAGGCGATGTCGTCCAATGAAACTGCAGCGTATGACATCATGACAGCTCTGGACGTCGACTACGTACTTGTCATTTTCGGCGGAGTAATCGGTTACTCTGGAGACGATATCAACAAGTTCTTGTGGATGGTCAGGATTGCTGAAGGAGAACATCCCAAGGATATTAGAGTGAGTGAAAAAAATCTAGTACTTTAAAATAATTTTAGTATTCTATTAATAATAATAACACTATGATAGTTCGAACTACTAACATTGAGTACGCCCACTTATATTACTTAATTTTGGGCTGCTGATTTCAAAAATGCTCTGCCAAATTATCTTAAAATGTAAGTTTTTTCGGTAATATTTTGATTACTTATGGCCACTTGCACCGTTAAAAGGTAACAGGGGATTAGTGTCCAAAATCTTGCACCGTGATTTTTTTTCTATGATTTAAAATTTAACTATTGATCTAGGGAATTTGACTAAAAAATGGAAAAGATTGGTGCTAATAACTAACTTCACACTTATTTGTGACGCAAATATATTTTGACGTTAAGAGTTCGATTCTTTATAATCTGTGGTTCGATTCTTTATCATCTGTGGTTCGATTCTATTTCATGTACGACCGGTATAGTTGATGGTAAGAGAATAATATGGATACAGAACCTGAAAAAAAGGGGGCGCTCCTCAAATTTTTCAGAAAATGAAAAAAATCATTTAGTTAATCTTGTGGATACAAGGGTATCATTAAAAACAAAGAAACAGATAGGGCTGAAATAATTAGAGGAGGAAATTAACAATACAAAGGATGTAAAAGAAATGACTATTTCGGATTTAAAAATTTTAGAAGAAAAAGAAAAACTTAATATATGTATTATAATAATAAACAAGAAGTGACTATTTATTTTAGTATAAATTAATTAATTAAATAAAACATCAAAAATATTATTCACAATAAATTTTATAAATTCGCAAAATAATCTTGTATTAATTGAATTTGAAACATATAATGCGATCTTGTGGATGAGTAACAACAGGGTACTCCAGTTTATGGCATTAATATCATTAGGCAATGGCGGCTTTGGTTTATTCATGTCTCTAGCAATATTATGTAGTACAGCTGCAGCTGGAATAATGGACAAAACTGTATCTAGTTTTAATCTTAAGCCATATGCCAACACTGGAAACCTTCTTTTCCAAATTCCAAATACTCTCTATTATATTTCTGGTTCTTAGTAGTGACTCATTATAGAGTTGCTGACCTCTATACCTATAACTATAGTTATTGGATTTGCTAAAGATGTCAATAAATAATATCTTTGGAAAAAAAGATCTTCTTCAAAATGTTTTGGCCTTTAGCTAATTTAAAAGCTATTTGGCCAGCTCATGATGTTGAAAAAAAGATCTTGAATACCAATGACAAGTACTTTTGAGGTTATAAATCGTTAACGATTAAATTAATTTAAACCCCCTAAATTGAGGGTTTATTTTAACAGTAGTTTAGAGGTATTTAAACAAGGATTAATTTACGGTGCAAGCCACTGTTAAACTTACGGTGCAAGTGGCCATTATTAAATTATTTTGCTATGCATCTATTTTGTATGTTTTGTATGTATATTTTTGACGTTTTTGTCTAAAATATACAGGGAGTCTATACAGTCATTGGTGTCAAATAAAATATATTATAATTTGAATTTTTTGTTCCATTGTAGCAGTAGTAGTATCCCTCATAGAAAATATTTAGACCAATGAATGGCATTTTAAATAACAAAACTAAAAATAATTTAATTACTAAATTGAAAAGGCACCTAAGTAGAGACAATCTTAAATTTATTAAATCTTATAATATCGAGCCGAAAATTGGCGACTATTCATTGAAGAAATGCTTTCCGCTTTTCAAAGAATTGACGTTAATGTCATTAAAAATACATTTCCTTCATTTTCATCCCGATAAATTTCCCGGACAGTCACCTACTAAATCTGATGAACATGGAGAATAAATTCACCAAGTAACTGTAAATATTCACTGCTAGGAGATATTTGCTGTAGTTTGCAGAAAAAGACGTACGACGATGATAAGGATTAAGCCCGGATCAAGCACATTAATAGTATAATTCAATTTAATATTTGATACGATTTAATAAATTTAAGATTAAAAACAGTAAAAACATTTCCTGCTCAATTGAACCTCGAGTGGTATTTGTTGAGAAAGTTCCACTAAATAAATAAATTAAGTCATTTTTGTTTCACTTTTGCATTTCTCTATACAATAATCCATCCGTTACTACGGAGAAGCTAAATCGAAAAATATTCGCCAATTTAGGTTTAAATTGAATGGAATTGTTGAAGATAATTTTCATACCAAAACTTTACTTTGTTGACTTTTAAATTCAATAAATAAAATAAACTATAATAAAATGTCAAATATTGGTTGGTTTTTACATACAATACATTTTAATTTTATAAATTTTTGAAATTAATATAGAATATCAATTGGATTTGAGAAACAGCGTATGTTTTAAGTTTCCATTTATTTATGTAGGCGGAGCATCTCGCTAGGCTTTCGTCAAGGTAGTTGGCCTTTAGAAAATAAGTGTAAAGTGCCACACATCTAGTCACTTTCGCGTTCTCTCAGGCAATCTTTGAAAATAAAATTACCCAAAACATTTGAACGGTTTAATTACATACTATAAAATTGTCTTTATAAAGTTTAATAATTATACTAATTATACCATTTTTCTCAGGAAAGTGACTACTTTACTGAACACGGAGAATTCAGAGTAGATGCTGAGGGTTCACCAACTTTACTTAATTCTCTAATGTACAAATTGAGTTATTACCGTTTTGGCGAGTTAAAGTTAGATTACCGCACGCCCGCTGGCTACGATCGTACGAGAAACGCTGTGATTGGCAACAAAGATTTTTCATTGACTTACCTTGAGGAGGCTTACACCACTGAACACTGGCTTGTCAGAGTATACAAGTAAGTTTTTGTTTGGAATTTGTAATTTTGGTTTTTATATATTTTTTGTCTAGGGTTAAGAAACCAGATGAGTTCAACAGACCAAGAATACCAGTTGCCAATAGGGTCATTAAGTCGCCTAACTTTATTTCTAAAAAGGTAAGGTTTTGGTGTAAAACTTTTTTTTAATATGTTCTGGGAAATAAATCACTGTTTTGTTTTGAGGCTGGTTAATGTCTTATAATAGGGCTGGAAAGTGTTATCTAGCAACACCTGTACAGTTTCATCTAAAATTTAGACTAAATTACACAGAAAATTTATTACTATAAAATTGATATTCTTTTTAGAGCAACAAACGCAAAAAGGGTACAATCAAGAACAAGCCAGTTGTGGTAAAGGGAAAGAGACTTTCAAAAAATCAATAGAAAAACAAGTGTTAGATAATTTTTTTTATTGTTGTTAAAAACTGTTTTACCACAATTTGTGTTGTGTGAAAGTTATAAAATATTTAAGTTGACATGTATGTATTTATTTACTTCACTATCGGAGTATTTTTAAAATCATTATTTCACCTTGTGATAACTGCAAAAAAATGCCAATAAAACTTTTGCACTAGATTTTGTTTAATTTGTTTCACTTAGGCTGAGGGCCAAAATAATCCTATATTTATAGAAGAAATATAGATTTTATGTTGGCACCCAATATGCCCTTGTGTCCCTGGACCAGCGAAAGGCGTTTAATATGGTAAAACTTGAAATCCTGCTTCAGTTGGAAATCATTGGAATGCATTAAATTAATTATTCAAAACCCACATTATCCAGATATATAGCTATCTAGATAGCTATAGCTATGCAATGTAAGTTTCCTAGATATATCTAGGGAACTTACGTTGCATTGCAGCATGGGTTGACATTAAGATAGGAACTTGAAACTTGAAGAACATATTTTTTATTTATTTCGAACCCTATATGCCCCTGGGAGTCATTTTTCTTTTAAATAAGGACCACCTTTTTCGAATTCGGAAATTTTAATATTCGACCTATATTTTAAGATGGCAACGTTTATACGAATATTTAATAGCTACTTATATTTAATACTTTATTATGATATTTCATGTGTGAAAAAATATAACAATATTCTCTTGTAGCGTAGAACAAAAAATTTCAGCTATTATAATAATTATGTTTATAAACATAGATAAATGATTTTCTTAAATTTAAAAAAATCATCTAACTAAACCTCTAAAATTATAAAAGCTAAAAATCTGTAAAAATTCTTAGAAATTTTCGTTATCGTTTAAAATTTTTTGAAGAGTTACTTGGGCCGGAATAAATAATTAATTATTCAATGGCGAAAACCCTATGTTATTTATATAGGAAACTTGGGAAACACTGCAACGCGGCACGGGTTAATATTGAGATAGGGACTTGAATCTTGGAGAATATTTTTTTTATTTATTTCGAAAATTATAAAGTGTTCGAAATATGAGCCCCTGAGCGCAAAAAAATTCTAAAATTATATATATCCCAGTAAGCACCAAACACTCGACAAACAGTCGGATTTCGCTCGGCGAAGGCGGTTGACCGGCGGTTCGGCTTTCCTCAGCCGGCCCACGTTATGTTACTCCGGTACCGTTTAGCCATGTTCTAACCGAAGTCGGCCAGAATACGGCATGACGCTGCAAAATCTTTCGGCTTGCCCTAGCCGGCCTGCTTACGACTGGAATACGGCCTGCCGCGGCAAAATTTTGCTGCTTAAGCGATACATTTCACGCAACTAGCGATTGGTTGCAATATTTAGTTGGAAGTGTGCGTCCGTAATGGCACGATTTTGCAGCGGCATGCCGTATTCTGGCCGACTTTGGTTAGAACATGGCCAAACGGTACCGGGCTAACATAACGCGGGCCATACGCGGGACGACTGGGGGCAAGCCGAACCGCCGGTCAACCGCCTATGCCGAGCGAAGGCCGACCGTTTGCCAAAATAACATATAAAGGGTGTTTTTTTAAGAACGATAGAACTTGAATAAAAACCACAATAATTAACTTTTAATAAAAAATCTATTTTTATTTAAAAGATCAATACATGGCATTAATGTTTAAAAATGATTTGAGGCATATGGCCACCACGGCTGTTCCTGACGAAGCGCATTCTGTCAGTCCAATTTTGGGTCACTCTTTCGAGCAATCTCGTCCGGATCAATGCAATCCATATTTTAAAAGAAATATTCGTTTATCATGGTCCGGCATCGTTCCCCATTGACCGTTACGTTAAGTCCAGCCTTATTTTTAATTATTGTTTAATTCTGTTTATTAACAAACCCATTGAGCCAAAAATGTGCCTCATCGCTGAACATAATTTTGCGATAAAACAATGGGTCAGCTTGCAACTGCTCTAAAGCCCAATCAGTGAAAGAACGACGCAAACGATGGTCTTGTGGCTTCAATTCCTGCACCAGCTGGATCTTATATGGGTGTAGCCCAAGATCTTTGCGCAAAATTTTCCACGTGGTGGACGGACAAAGCCCCAACTGCTGCGATCGACGGCGAATCGATAATTTGGAATTTTCTTGCACTTTCGTTTACCGCAGCAATATTTTCTTCAGTACGCACATTCTTTTGACATAATGCTGTTTTTACATATGTGGATATCCTTTAGAGAGAGTGTGGTTCTAAATCTATCCACAGTGCGACGGATGGCTTGCTTAGATGGACGATTATGTGCACCGTAAAATTCACGAAGTCGTCTATGTGTTTCGCGAATTGAGGAATGACTTTCAAAGTAAATTTTGATAATTTGATAACGTTGTTCCAGCGTGAGTCTATTCATAATGATTTGCCACACTATACTAAATACAAATGTAACTAATATCGCGCAAAATGACGTATGATTCAAAAGCAATTACGATCTGAAGTTTATCATTCTTAAAAAAACACCCTTTAGTTTGAAAATATTAATGTGCGTGTAAAAGAAAGAGAGAGAGAGCTCTCTCTCTAGAATCGTTAAACCATTTTTTCTCCGTTAGACCGAGCGCACGTCTCTCGGAACCGCGCGCCGCCGCGTAGCTATGCGTAGGCTTGGATCTGTATATAGATCCAAGCCTACGCATAGCTACGCATGTGAAATCGTCGCTATAGCGAGGATTTCACATGCATTTCTTTACAAAAAAATTCATAACAGTTTTTGAGTCCCCCCCAAAAATAAGTAGTCAAACTTTGCGGAAAACTTAGGGCTATCATCATGATTTTTTTTTTAATTTGAGGTGGCGTTTTTTGGGAATTTAAATTTTAATAAAAAAAAAATTTTAGGAGAACTTTTGAACAAATTTTTTTTATTTTTATTTTATCCTAAAGAGCGTCAAAAAATATGTTTTTCTACTCCCATCTTTAAAACGCCCTTTATCGTACATATTTTTTGACGCTCTTTAGGATAAAATAAAAATAAAAAAAAATGTTCAAAAGTTCTCCTAAAATTTTTATAAGTGACCTTTTAAATACACATTGACAAGTTGTGGCTTTACGGCGCTTTAGTCACGGGCTGAAGTTAGTTTTAAGTTAGTTGACAGTTGTCAAATATCATACAATCGTTAAAATAAAGTGCCCTTCTTGTAAAATAATACTAAATGTGAAAATTATTTTATTATCTCAATACAAAAATACAAAAATATTAAAAAGTTTCTCAACGCCAATATTTAAAAAGTTTATATGAACTTGTACTGACCTTTTAAAACACCTCATAAAACATTTCCTTTACTTTCACTGTGAAAAACTGTCAATTTTCAAGATACATTTCGATTTACAAACTTTATAATTGTGTTAATAAAATGAAAAAATGTGACATTTGACAGTTTCCCCTGTTGTTTCATAGATGGCTAGTAGCAGGGGCGTGCTGGCAGAATCAATGCAGGCCTGGACTAGATGGTAGAACAGTCCAGGCCCAAGCCAAATTCATATAAATTGTAAAAATACATCACAATTAAATACCTCGACTGATAAAATGTCCCGATATCTCTCTTCGCAACAAAGAACTGTTTTCAGCTACTTCAATTATTAAGTCACAATCTTAACAATTTTTCACCTTTCTCTCCACAGCAATCAGCATAAAAGCTTCCAAATTTACGTCACTTCAAACTGATATTAAAGGAAAGTATTATCACAAATAAATCAAGACAAAAACTGCGAGAGGGGCCTTTTTTGGATGCTTTTGTAATTATGTTTCTGTTTCTCTATAAATCCGAGCTGATCCCCCCTTCCGATAATTTATAAATTTACTAAAATTGAATTTTTATCGAAGTGGCCCCGGATCAGTTTGGATTTTCAAAGAAACGGAAAAATAATTACGAAAGCATCCAAAATATCCCCACGGTTTAGGGTTTTCACCTTCTTCTTGGTTAAGGGTTAGCAAAAAAATACGTGTTTTAGATTTTTTTAAGAGTCAATTAAAACTTTCTTTTTTTTTTAATTTATTTTAGTGTTTAGTGATATAACTTGAAAAAACTTTTTGTTTGGTATACCCTATTTGCATTATGCATACCATAACAAGTCCAGCAGACCACCATGGTAGCGCACGCCCCTGGCTAGTAGTATGCGCATACTATACTTTTTCTCTACGACTACTTAAGAATAGTAACATTCTAGTGTACTTTTTGATCATAGAAAGGATGTTTTTCTGCAATACTGTGCGAGAATATTCCCACTCTTGTTTAAGAATGGTCACAAGTAACGACATCTCCTGGCTGTTTACTAAACGTAAAAAATTTAAAAAGATTTAAATATTACTGTATTATTTATTAATTAAAAAATAATAGCAGTTGTATAATTAAGGTTTAGGCCCAAAAAATTAGTTATATTTATTGTTTTTCAAATATACAAATCAAAATTATAATAAATTTGATATTAAAATGATAAACCAGTTACCTACTATACCGGCTTTGAAGTTTTGACAGATTCAAAAAGTTTAAAAAAAGACCTTTAAAATGTAGAAAAAGAATAGATGTTGACATAGATTACTTGTAAAATTAGTTTTGTATTTGTTACAATGTTATTTTTTTTATTAGTTAGTGTAAATAACTATTTTTAATTATAATAAAGATTTAGGCATACCATTTGTTTAAATTTATTATAATTTACATTACATTATAAAATTGTGACGGCACAAAATGGTTTGACAATACAAAAAACTTAAATGTCAAAAACTGCTTTCTTCTTTTAAGCGTTACTATTCTTACGTAGTCGTAGAGAAAATAATGTCTGAAACACGTTTGGAATGGCATATTCCACTCTCGTAAAACCGTCACACTCGCCTTCGGCTCGTGTGTCAAATTTTTCCTCGAGCGGAATATGCTGTATTCCAAACTTGTTACAGAATGTACTATTCTACGACAAATCCTTATTATTATCTTAAAATGATTTAAATCAAAAATTTGTATAGTGCGCCATCTATGAAACAACGGGGGAAACTGTCAAATGTGCGCACCTCGTTTATAAACTTTTCTATACACCCATTAACTTAAGCACTCGCTCGCAAGCTCGCTCGTGCCTAAATTAAATTCTTGTATAAAATGGCGTTTATCAAACTTGATACATAATATACTATTATATGATGACAGCTAGGTTCTAGTTGGTTTTAATTTTGTACTGGCTTTGTCCTGGTTTTGCAGATTTGGTCCAGGTTTATACTAATATTTTTATTATTGGCATTATTAGCAATTTAAAAAAAAGTGGTCAGGGCTTAGGTTAAAAATTAATTTAAAAATTTAAAACCTTGGAAGTACATTTAGAAGAGTAAAAAAGTAAGAAAAAAAATCGTTTGAAAAAAAAAATATATAAAAAATTATGACTTTTCTTCACTTGTTTAGGATTTTTTCTTTTATTTTTTTTAAAAAGTGGTCGGTGCTCAGGCAAAAAATTAATTTACAAATCTGAATTTTTGGGAGTACCTTCAGAAGCAGGGTAGCCAATATTCGTTACTGAGCAGATGAGGATGGAGATGGGGACTCCAAACAATTAATGTTCAGCTATGCCATTACAGACGCCCACTTCCAACTAAATATTGCAACCCATCGCTATTTATAGTTAGCTCGCTTGCGTAAGCAGGAGTGAGATGTATCGCTTATACCGCGGCAGGCCGTATTCCGGCCGTAAGCGGGCCGGCTAGGGCAAGCCGAACGATTTTGTAGCGGCATGCCGTATTCTGGCCGACTTAGGTTAGAACATGGCCAAACGGTACCGGGCTAACATAACGCGGGCCATACGCGGGACGACTGGGGGCAAGCCGAACCGCCGGTCAACCGCCTATGCCGACTGTTTGCCGAGTGTTTGTTGCTTACTGGGGACTTTTTTATGATTGGTTCTAATTTTTATGATTTGTTCTAATTTTATGGTCGGGGCTCAGGTTAAAAATAAATTTAAAAAGATAAAACTTTGCATGCATGGCAAGTACATTTAGAAGTGATCGGGGCCCAGGTTAAAAATTAATTTACAAATCTGAATTTTTGCGAGTACCTTCAGAATAGTAAAAAAGTAAGAAAAACCTCGTTTGATTTTTTTTTTAATTATGAGTTTTTCCCACTTTTTGTGGTCGGGGCTCTGGTTAAAAATTAATTTAAAAATCAAAAACTTTGGAAGTAGGTACATTTAGAAGTGTAAAAAAGTATGAAAAAACACACAGCACAGGATGTCCAAAGGACGTCCAATGGACATCTTGTACTATGTGGGTTAACCCAGCCAATTGGCTATCATGCCTAAACTTTTAGGTCAAGCAATTTTCGGATATGTAATACTTAAATCGTGGCCAACTATATAGTTGGCCACGATTTAAGTATACACAGCCGACACTCGGCCGAGTAAACATAGCCGACATTCGGCCAGGCGGATATGCCCGACAGTTGGCCAGGCGGACATGCCCGTTCTAGACGCCGGAAGAAACACGTGTATCAGGCCGCACGCGGCCGATTCGGCAAAAAGTATTCGGGCCGAATGGAGACCGGCTAGTTTGTGCTTACTGGGGATAATTTTTTATTATTACGTTATTAGCACATCTTTTTTTCAAATAATAAATATTAATTATTATTATTATTTAAATAAAATAAATGTTGTTTAATTTTTGGAAGGGGTTTTTCCTTTTAGAAAGTTGGTCACCTTAAACTATAGTGATTGATTATCGCGTAGACCGCAAAAATATTAAATTACTTATACCGTGATTTAGACCAATCAGGTAAAGTTTTTTACCTCCTTGTTTGTAAAAAACCTGTTTGGACCAATCAAAAAATTCGAATACTGTGAGATCTACCTAACCTCACTTTCTAGTAGAAAGTTTCTACTTTTAATGTATCATTTAAAAAATAATGGTGCCTCAATTGAAGATAAAATGTTGTCGGCTGAGAAGTGTCTTTTTGTGATTCGCTTAATTGCCTCCGCAATAGCGTATACGCGACGGCCTTCATTGAAGGCCCTTTAAACTCAGCACAAAAAGACTTACCTTTCAGCCTAATGAGTCATGACAAATATGAGTTATGACAAATAATGAGTTATGACAAATAATGTGTTATAACAAATATATTTAAGTATAATCATAATTATTTGGTATTAATTTTTGTTTTGCCTTAGAAACAAAAAATAAACTCCTATACTCCTATATATAGGAATATAGCAGCGTTGCCAACCTTTTCGTTCGAAAAATCCTGAGTTCTCTAGTCAAATATCCGTAGAAATCCGTGGATGAAGGGTAAAATCCGGACATTTATCCGTACCAGGGATCAGAGGTGGCAGGCACCGCGGCGACTTAGAAACTTGGATAGATTTACGAATTTTCACTAAAAATTTTGATTGGTACTCAATATTTATCAGCTGTTCAGTTATTTAGCGCAAGGTGGCGCTTTCTTAGTAATGCTTGGCGCTTTTAAGATTTACACATTTCATAAATTCATATATTTATAAACAATGTAATTAGATACTAATAGTGTAATACATGTATAAAAAACTTTTAAATGTAAATAGATACCAAAACAAATTTAAAACTTTAGTTGCCATTTTTTTCACAGCATCTTTTTGACAGACAGCACTTTTTCTGGTAACCTGCTGGTAACAAACAAAATTCCTAAACTAATCAGTGCGTTCCATGAAATGTTCCATGAGTACGTTCAGTGCAAGGTTTTATACCTGCCGTTTACTGGACGGAGAGAAATAGTTAGAAAATAAAAAAAAGGGGTTCAAGCAATTTTTTACTTGTCGCAGGTTTTAATACATCAAGTAATTATGAATTATGCGATAATGTCCAAATATCCGTAGATTTTCAGACAAAATCCGGTTATCCGTTAATGACCCTTAAAATCCGTAGATCTACGGAAAAATCCGTAGGGTTGGCAACGCTGGAATATAGTCTGATTCATTTAGACTGAAATTCAGTCACTGAATGTCCCGCATTTTTAATGTTTTGTCCCGCTAAAGCTAATTTGATGTTGGCAACCCTAGCTAGGGTCCCTAGGCACCTAAAGGGGGTGCTTTAATTTTTTTTTAGAAAAATGCTTACCTTTATATATTGCGACCCCTTAAAAAACACTTTTGGTCCATCCTAATGTATAATAATTGTTATTAATTTTATTATATTTATTTATAAATTATTTCCATAATTGAAACGGAGTTGAAAATAACTTGAATAACGGTTAAAACCGGCGTTTTTGAATTTGTTTGGATTGTCGCCGTTAGAGCTATGTTCATTGCGCTTAAAAACTGTAGTGAAGTTAGGCGTTTTCAAATATTGACAGCCGTAGCCTTTTAGCGTAGCTTTCGCCGCTAGCGCGTCGTTTTCTACGTGTAAACGTGTTTATTTTGTAATTTGTAGTGTTTTTAAGTAGTTATAAGTTTTTTGACAGAAAAATAATGAGTACCCGTGTTTTTGTGGGTGGCTTGACCTACAAAATCCGAGAACGGGATTTGGAAAAGTTTTTCCGCAAGTATGGCAGAATTAAAGAGGTATCCATGAAAAATGGGTACGCATTCGTAGAGTTCGATGATCATAGAGATGCAGATGATGCCGTTTACGAAATGAATGGTAAAGACTTGATGGGGGATAGAGTTACAGTGGAAAGGGCCAGGGGTACACCGAGGGGAAGCGATCAGTGGAGAGGTAGCGGCGAAAGAGGAGGCGGAGGCGGCGATCGTGGGGGAAGAGGTTATGGGCCTCCGCGCGGCAGCAGAAATGATCCTCCGAGGGGACGCGACAAGTATGGCCCCCCAACTAGAACTGAATACAGAGTTGTAGTGGAAAATCTGTCCAGCAGAGTAAGCTGGCAAGACCTAAAAGACTACATGAGAAAAGCTGGCGAAGTTACATATGCAGATGCCCACAAACAATGTATTAATGAAGGTGTAGTAGAATTTGCTTCTTACTCGGACATGAAAAATGCCATTGAAAAATTAGATGATACTGAGATTAATGGCCGTAGAATAAGATTAACAGAAGATAAACCTAGAGGTGGTGGTAAAAGGTCCAGGTCTAGCAGCCACAGCCGTTCTAGATCACGCTCCAGGCGTCGATCCAGGTCCAAGTCACAATCAAGAAGCCGTAGCGGCTCTAGAAGCCATTCAAAATCCAAATCCCCAGCCCGTTCCAAGTCTCGCTCTCATTCCAAAGGTCCATCTAAGTCTAGATCCAGATCACCCCAAAATGGGTCCAGATCACATTCCAAAGAAAATGATGAACCAGTTGTAAGGTCCCATTCAAGGTCAGTCAGCAATGAAAGAAGTTAGTGAGAAGCAGTTAAAAATCCAGAGTTTAGAATAAACAAATTAGGTTTAAAATTTTATATGCTTATATTACTATTTAAGTTATATAAAAATGAGTTTGTTTTGATTGTATGTACTTATCTTTGTAGTACCTTTCAAAAATTATTAAATCTAATATTGATAATTTTTGTTTGTTGAATTGCTTGGAATTGATTTAAACAACAGTTTTATATTTTGAATTATTAAGAACAATTTTAAATTTTTTTATAAAAATACCTTCCATGCCTAACATCCTTTTCTAGTTACAACAATAAAACTTAATAAACCTGTATGTTTATATTAAATTAAATGTATTTTTTTAATTTTTGACCAATTTTATAATGGAATTATTTGTATCATCTTTATTTTTTAATGTGGAACTATTTCTTGTAATACATTCAACACATAAAAATATTGTAATTGGATGTAATTAATAAAGGATTTATGTACTAAATTTATACATTTTATTTTAGCTTACTATATGTATATGCTATGAGATAAACTGAATTGATTTAATCCTTAATATACCTACATAATAATACATAAGGCCATCCACAATTCTCGTGATGATGGAGAGGGGAGGGAGGGTTTGAAGGACCGTCAAGCCTGAGGGGTACGTTTTTTTAAAACGTCACGTAAGTAAATTAAATTGCTTGTTTAATTTTTCGACCAATTATTGCAAAAAAGAATCGAAAAAATTATTTTTGGGGGTAGGGGAGTTTGGTAATTTGTCACATGGCCCTTCAGGGGAGTCTTTACATTGACCTGTATTCCTGATGGATGAAATGAAATAAATAAGCTTGATTAAACTTTGTTTAGGCACACCGTGGACACATTTAGTGGTGAGCAGTTTATTTCAGAATATTTGGCAAGCTCATAGTGGAATATATATTTTAGTTTTTTATTATTTTTATAATCCTTATTTATTTCCATTTTATCCATTCCCCACATTTTTATCTTGAATCATCCAATCCTTTTTTAAATATTTTTATATATTTATACTGGGTGCACCAAGTATAATTCTATTTCTTCTATAGGTATTTTTTTGTAAATCTATAAGGTCTGTTAAATTTAAGAAAAGTTGCGTAATTACAAGCTAGTAAAATGAAATTTATAAATTGGAAAAAAATCCAGGGGTTCTCAAAATATTTAAAAATAAACTAAAAATCTTTTAAAACTAAAAATCGTTATAACTTCGTTATTCCTGGGAATTTTGAGAAAAAAAGTGAATTATACATGTAACACACATAAATCTACATTTTCATCCAACTTCTTTTCTACTAAATTTTGAGTTACCGTCGCCATCTTTTGTTTTTATAATGACCGCCATAACTTACAATGCTGTCCAAAGCATGTTAAATAAAAAATTTCATAAAATAAAATTTTAAAAATTGTAGTTATAGAGGATCCTAAAGCGCATCTTTTTTAATTTTTTTTCTGCGACGAAATAAAAAAAACTATTTTTATTGTTAAGAAGTTCAATTATTTTTATAATCAATTCGTAATTTACGTAGCCTCAATAAGCATAAAACCCTAATGATCGCACTTAAAGTCCAAAAAATTGCATATTTTTTTATTTATTTAACAACTAAGGTAATGACCGCGTTAATTTGTTTTGCCTAACGACGTAAAAACGACTTAACAACTTATACAATTCGAGTTTTAAGTTAAAAAACTTGAATTGTATAAGTTGTTGAGTAGGCTTTTAAGAAGTTTTTGGAAAATTTTAATTTTTTTTTGGGAAATAGTGGCCCAAGTAGCACAAACGCGCTGAAAATTGTCATATACCTTACTATATAACAATTTTTAATATAACACTTTTATTTTAAAAATAACTGGTAACCTTTAATATGGCGCTTATAAACATGGAAAAGGCGCAAGTTTATAAAACAATTGTATGCGATAGACGTTATATAATGATTGCCCATGATAATTATATAACAATATTTAGCATTTTATAAAAACGTTACATAACAGTTTTTTAATAGAGCTGTAAGTGAGGTCCCGGATGATCTTAAACAACATTTTTGTGTTCTTTGACAATACTATAAAATTATTTTATAAGTATCGTTTTAAAAGGTTATTAGTGGTAAAACACCATTACAGAATACTTATAAAATAATTTTATAGCAGCCTTAAAAACGTTTCATTTAAAAACAATCTGTGTTGCATAGGACTTTAACAACTTAGCGATGACATTTTGATTTTGTAAGAATCACGAAAAACATTATTTTTATTTTTATACGATAATAATGGCGACAAAAATGATTTGTTAAATGCTCTCATGATGCTCTCCTAAATTATTTGGTTGATGGCGGCTTGATGAATTTCACAGGCTTTGGATAGTATATAATATCTTCATTAACAATATTAACGGCTCTGATTGTAAAATACTCTTACCACGTCAACTATACTGACATTATACATATATATTTGTGGTTAAATTTTAAAGCGCTTCCAATTTTGCCCATATTTACCAAATTAAAAAAAAATTATTATTATATTTTATTTTTTTTTTTGTTTCTAATAAAATTAAAAAAATATTGCATTGCGTTCTGTTGCACTCTGAATTCCAAATCCGATGTTACAATCGAAACTTTCAATAGACTTTATCGATATTAATGCGATTTTTCGTATTTATGACAATATGGTTGCCTCAAATATAAAGTTCATTTTGATTTGAACAATGAAAAACATGGCGATTTGAATTAAATCATTTTTATCCCTTACGACATACCTATAAAATTAAACTGTGTTTGAAATTAGTTTTATAACACAATTCTGATATATAATTTATCTATATAAAAGTCGTCGCGCAAACAAAATTGTTTCTCACCTATTTTAGCAGCTACAATGTTGTCAAAATGTCAAATATTTTTTTAATGTTCTAGATACCTACCAAATTATATTTTGTATAGATATTATTGCCTTTTTGTTTTTATAATAATTTTTTTCGAGAAATTTAGAATCCATCAATCCCTGTAGAGTTTATAATCGTTATTGTTGGCAGGCATGTTTCGTACAATATCGAATACATTTTACCAAGTTTAACTGCTAATAGTATAATCAAGAGACGATTAATGAGTTTTAATCAATTTATGCGAATATTGTGTAGGTCTCATATATTTAAAACATATTAAATAAATCTAACAGAAATTATGGTAACTTCGGCAATACCGCATCTCCAGCAAACACGTTTAAGACACCCTCTATTTCTGTGGTTTAAGATTGCTTTAGGTTCCCATTTTTTAATATGGTGGCAGCACAATCGAATATCGAATGTTTTATTATGACATTAATAAAGAGGTAATAAAACAATATTGTTTTTTAAAACTCACTACAATTACCTTAAATAACACTTTTGTTATAAAGTACTTGTTAGGATAATGTTATTCGATAATTTTGTCTAAGTTCAAGTAAATATGTTATTTAATGAGGTTTAGGTGATCACCACAGGTGTTTATTACGTTTACGGTTATTTTTGTCAGTGCAATTTTAAAAATATTATTTTTCAAACGAGTGTGTGTTTAAAATCTAGTGTACGTGCCGTGATTCACAGACAAAAGACAAAGCAGTAGCCAGATCCACTCCCGACTTCAACAAACATAACCTTCTGTTATTCAAAATACTAAAAAGCTCCCTTAAAATGACTTATATTACAGGAAGTAGCCCATAGTCGGATGCGCTGATTCACCTTAATATTTTTACTGATTTCGGACAGCTTTGTGGTATCTTCTTCGTCACTTGAATCCACAAGTTCTACATTGGCACTTCCTTTATCATAAGTTCCAAGCTTTAGTTGCAAGCCATGGCTTTCAGAAGAACTTGAATTTACATTTTAATGTTCCAAATCTGTGCTAATAGATTCCAACTTAGCAGTAGATGCTGATGTCGCGACTATTTGATTATCTCCCAGCAAACACACTAGTCCGGCCATGCAATGGCACATTAATGGCCCATTGCATTATGTAATGGCCCAGTAATGTGCCGTTGCATGGCCGGACTAGTGTGTTTGCTTTCACTCTTTTTCTAAAATTACCACTACGTTTAGGCTTTTACCAATTAGAAATTTGACTACTCGACATTTTATAGCTTTGCAGTAGACTGATGAATTCTGAATTAGCATAAAAAGTTAGATTAGTATTAATGAAGCTATATAGGAATATCGCATAAGATAAAATTGCGATTTTAAAGCGCTTTTTATTTTATTAGCTACTTTTAATTATTTTATACAAGCGTCATTAAATATAATAATAAAATACTTTTATTAAAGTGGTTTTGAACGCAAAAATGTCGCAATTTGCAAATTGTTTTAAAAGTAAATCTCCAAAACAGCTATAAAATCTTGTTAAAAAGCTCTTACAAAAAAATAAAATTTTATTTTTGTTATGGTATCCTGCACCCCTAATAAAATCATTTTAAAACAATTATAAAATAAATTTAGCTCAAGCGTAAATAGATTTATAACTATTGATTTATAACCATGTATAACACATTTCATTCCAAGCCTTTAAAAATGTTTTATTAATCAGTCTCAACAACAGCTATAAAACACTTTAATAAAATATATCAGTTTCCAAAGCATATTGGTGATCTTGGCGAGCTTTATTCGACTATTCGCTCTTAAAGGAAGTAACAATAAAGCAAATATATAACTATTTAGTCGAATAACAAAATTTATGTGCTACTTGGGGGCTTAAGTAATTACGCGCTAACAAGCGCTGATGTTCATCGATCAAAAGATAGAACTAAAAAAGTGTTACTTATCTTATATAAGAAAACTGCACTTGGCGCAGTGGCCACGCGTGGGTTCGAATTCCACATGGGTATGGCTGTTTATTTGTGTTTATCAGTGTGTACAGGGTGAACCACGTAAGGTACCTTGGTCACGTGACCCATATATATACTTATCTCAGAAACTACTGAAGTCACAAAAAATTTGTAGAGAACAAAAATTAAGGACATACAATATAAAAAAAATAATA